CTTTTCCTTCTCTTTCTTGTGGTTACATTTTCGAACCACAATCCTGTATGCTTTCTTTGGTAATTGCTTAAATTTTTCACCCATCATTTTTGTCTGATCATAGTTCGGCTAATTTTTGAGAATTTCAATTCAAAGTTTCGAAATGGATTAAGTATGGATTAATTAGAGCAAATCTCGGACTACAAGATATATTTTTAGATTCCATTAATCTGCTGATTTTCGCTTCAAAAAATATTTTTTCGGAGGTCTTGATTTTTTGGCAAAGTCATGAAACACGCAACTGCAGCAAAAACATGAAAACTTCTAAAGTTTCTGCGAATTGCAACATGATTCTTATTAAACACTATTTATGCAACATTACCCAGTTTGACGTGCTTTGAAAAAGCAGCTTTTTGGAATTTTCGGTACTTTTACGTGGCAAACGTAATCAAAAAGCCGCGGTTCTTAATAAATAAATAATTATAACGGACTTGGTAAAGGTGACTCAGTAATCTAAAATGGGTATAACGTAGCCAAAGGTTTGCTTTACATAATAGTTATGACGCTCGTTAAATCAAAATAAAAATTTTCAGAATTTAGGAAAGTTTTGGCATTACTATTGATCTGCTCAAAAAACCATGGCGATAACATTGCAAAGACAGGGTAGATCAGAGAGCAAATATAGCTGTAAGAAAGAGGAAGAAAAACTATAAATGGTACCTAGAACGTTTATGAACTGGTGTTTTGTGAGTTTTAGTGAGCGATGAAAAAAGCCGACAAAACTTTCGGGACAACCTAATATATAAGAATTAGCGTAGGTTTTTGCTGTTCTAAACATGCGTTTCTCAAAGTATCTGCCTTCACCCACTTGCTAGCGACCCGTAGGGTCGCTAGTCTTATATATAAAGCTGAATGTCTGTTTGTCTGTCTGTATGTATGTGTGTACGGTCGCTAGTCTTATATATAAAGCTGAATGTCTGTTTGTCTGTCTGTATGTATGTGTGTACGTATGTTCCGAATAGAAAATTCCATTTCTGAACCGATCCGGACCAAACTTGGCACACATACACTTCGTGCCCCGGCGGGTGTCATAGGCTACTTTTCGTCATCGATCAATATCGATTTTATCGATTTTATCGATTTTTTTGCAGAGTTCACCTACGGGGCTGGGAGTTGGCACAGGGGGGTAATCGAGCATGGGGATCCCGAATACAATATTGGTTTCGGGATTATCGATTACTTTTATCGATTTTATCGATTTTTTTGCAAAGTTTGAGCTAGGGGGCTGAGAGTTGGCACAGGGGGGTAATCGAGCATGCTGATCATCCCCAAGGGGGGTGATCAGCATGCTCGATTACACCCCTGTGCCAAATTCCAGTCCCCTAGCTCAAATTTTCAAAAAATCGATAAAATCGATAAAAGTAATGGACGATCCTGAAAACTAATATCGTGTTCGTAATCAGCATGCTCGATTACCCCCCTGTGCAAAATCCCAGCCTCGCATGTCAAAATTTACAAAAAATCGATAAGATCAATAAAAGTAATCGATAATTCTGAAAACTAATATTGTATTCGGAACCCCCATGCTCACTTCCCCCTGTGCCAACTCCTAGCCCTGCAGGTCAACTCTGCAAAAAAATCGATAAAAATCGGTAAAATCGACATCGATCGATAACGAAAAGTGGACTGTGACACCCGCCGGGGCCCGAAGTGTATGTGTGCCAAGTTTGGTCCGGATACGGCGGAGCCGGGTAAGCCAGCTAGTAATGTATAATCGTTCGCAGATTAGACAAGAGCTCACGCAGCATTTGTTGTTAAGATGTCCTACCCATGTTTTTTACAGGGCCAAAGCATGGCCGTATATGCCTACCAATGATGAAAGAGTGAACTCAAAAATTAATGAACTAGTAATCGATTTCAATGCAGATGTTAAAACTTGTGCCTGTTAAAAACCCGTAAAGAGGGATGAGTGTGAATTCATATCCTTTCTCGTTCGATTTGATGTTCCATGAAGCATATAAAACTTCCTTAAATGAATGCAATTCAGGCAAACTAGCGCAAATTTTCCAAGTGCGTATAGCGGTGTAATGTGTGGACGTCTACAAAATCGCTTTTGGTATATTCGGTAGTCAAGCGAGGGGCGATTTCCAAGCAATGAACGGAGTCGCCCAGGCAGTCTAATCGCAGTGACCGAAAATTGTACGGAATCGCGGACGTATGCTTTGGGCCTTAGACGTTGTAGTATCCTTTGTACTAGAATTGACTGCAACCAGCTAAGCTGGTCATCTACAAGAGAAGCTGGAGTGCTTCGCTCCTTCGTGCTACGAGTTCGAGTGATTTTCATTTTGTTCGCGCTTATCTTCAAGCGGAAGTTACGATTACTGCAATTGTTCAAAACGTGCCTTGAGGGCAGCGGCTCGGCAGAATAACAACTTTGGGATATTTATCATTCTCGGTTCCCCTGGATGAGCTAGTCCAAGACTGTGCTTTGCAGCTTCAAAAGATATATATCAATAACCCGCTTTTCCAGACGCGGAAAGCGCTATTTGAGGGCAGACCGCGTATCCGTCCTCCAGAGCGCGGTTGGCTCGTGGGTACGGTGGGTACAGTATCTCCATTCACGAGCCAACCGCGCTCTACAGGGCGGATACGCGGTCCGCCCTCAAATAGCGCTTTTCACGTCTGGAAGAGCAGTTATTGATATCTTTTAAAGCTGCAAAGCACAGTCTTGGACTTAGCTGATTCAGGAGAGCCGAGAACGATGAATGTTGTAGCATCCAGGCGCCCGGCTAGGTTTTTTGTCACGCTATTAGTCTTGAACCAAAACCATGAGATGTACTGATCACCATATCCCGTGTGTCGGTTCTCGGATGTCAAGTTCGTTCCTCAACAGTTCCTCAACACTTCCTCGACAGTTTCTCACCAATACTCACTGTTCTGTACTAGCTCTTCTGTATCTCATCATCTAGCTGTTTATATTCTCTGTATTTGCATATCAGCTTCTTCTTGTGGTTTTTTATATTTTGTGATAAACCATTTATACTTTTACCAGTTGTTCCGCTAAGTCAGTGGAACCTGCGGTCTGGACCGTCCTACCGCTACTATATCCCAGAGTTGTCATTCTGCCGAGCCGCTGTCTTTAAAGCCTGTTTTTTTAGCTTAAATTTGGATAAAACAATTGACCGAATGTCAAGATTCTGAGAATGCATCTCTAATGCATTCTCAGACTCTAGAATGCATTTGCACCGTTGCCTTTGATCCGCTCGCTACTTTTGAAATATAAGAATTCTCAGTTTCTCGAAAGACTGAATTCTAAATGCTCACTGAATGATCAAGCTCGCTCATAGTGATGTGACGTTAACTGATAACTTCTGAAAGACACCTACATGTCAAAAATCATGAACTTCAAAAATAGCGCTGGATTTTCTGGGTGTATCAACAGTAAAACGTGCACTAGTGCACCTTTTTTCAAGCCTGCAAACCTTTCTGAAGGTTTTCCGTGCGTGCACTCATCTTCAAGTCATTTGTAAGCTTTTGCTTATATTTTCACATTATGCGCAGCAACCAACAACCCCTTACCAGTAAATCCTCAGTAAAATCTTTTCCGTTGTAACAAATTGCGAAAATGTGTATTTGACTGATACTTATTAGGTCATTCCGAAAGTAATTTCGCTTTTTTCAAACGGGCGCCACATCTGATGGAACAAAGAGGCCTGAGAGGTTTTGGTAGCATTCGATGCAGCATTTCATTCTCTTTCTAATGGTTATGAAAATATTGCAGAACAGTCAATGAGCTTTCAGAAAATAATCAAAATCTGCGACTCATGCTTTTTGAGATGGTCAAGTTTCACGATTTTTTTTTTGAACCTTTCATATCAATCCTCAGAAGGAGTTCAAGTAAAGATTCGATAGAGTAAAGCTTATAGAATACAGCGCTACTTTTTCCCTTTCTCGTGCTCGCCGTAATTTTTTAAACGATTTTTTTAGCAGAACCATCAAATTTTGGCAGGCCCACTTCAACCACAATCGCATCAAACATCATAATTTTTCGGAATTTGAGACTACCAAGATGGTACTATGAGTTAGCATTAATTTTACAAAGCAAGTGAAGGTTTACGGGTTCGAAATATCAAATTTCGAGTTTTTCGGGTACAGCCTGAGGCTCCCTAAAAATGAGTTATGATAATTTTATCCCCGGAAACTAAACGAATCGGAAACAAAAAACACCCATTAGAAAGAGGAGAAAAAGCTGCATCGAATGACACCCGAGCTGCTCATGGTTTGATGTTCTACTAGGATTTAGCTGTCCAAGTATGGAAATCGGTAGCATCAGTTAAAATTCTGTTAAAAATGTATGACAAGCTGTGGAAAAGAGAAAAAAGTTGCACTGTATTCTATGAAGTTTGCTCTATCGAATCGTCATTTGAACTTCTTCTGACAATTGATATGAAAATTTTAAAAAATTGTGAAACTTGGCTATCTCAAAATGCATAGGTCGCAGATTTTGGTCATTTTTTGAAAGCTCATTGACTATCTTGCAACAATTCCATAACCATTAGAAAGAGAATGAAATGCTGTTTCGAATGCTACCAAGTTCTCTTAGAAACCTTTGTTCCGTCAGATGTGGCGCCCGTTTGAAAAAAGCGAAATACTTTCGGAATGACCTAATATATAATCAAATCAAAAGAGACGGGGAAACAAGGTGAAAGCACTTCAGATTCCAAACTCATAACCTCGTCGAACAGCGCGCATGAGTGCAATACGAATATTGAGTTACAAATGACTCTACGATAAGTTTGATGGAATGTGGTCTGATTGGCGTCATTCCAAATATATGCAAAAGATTTATGAACTTCAAAACATAATGCTAATGGGCACAAACAAATACGATGAAAGTAAGAGGGATAAGGAGTACACGTAGTAGGGAAGATATTGTTACATGTAACGCATATTAATAATTTTAGCGTTCACAGATGATGGAACATACAATTAGGGATTAATTGCCCCATAGCATTAACTCGTCAGTGGATAATGTCAAAAAGATTTGTCGTTCTTCTTCTATTGTTGCTTGGACGAATGACCGCCTGATTCCGAATTATTGGAGACTCCACGACGTAAAGCACGCCATTTGTGAGCACTATCTCAGACTCCTTGAAATTTCAAAATTGTAAAAATTAGTTAAAGAGTAGGGTGGCAGTATACGTACTTCAATTCGTGCTCCATCTATAAATGTCTCCCCATCAGTTTGACTAGGCCTTAAAGCCTCTCCATTCAAGTTAGCATAGGTTTGAATACGGATTTCCCCGGAGCTGTGGCGCAAATCGAAATTACACAATGGCTCTGAAATGAGTTTTTTCAAGCACTCGTTTGTTAGTGGATAAATTACTTACCCTCCACAATATGTCTCCGTACAAATGTTTCAGCTAGTTTTTGTTCAGAGGCCAACTTCTTGAACTCATTGGTTGAGAATGCATCGTCCGATGGAACAAATGCTGTCAGCGGTTTGTCATCGGTGAGAGAAGCATTGAGGGAACTGTCACGCCAAAGCCTAAATCACATCATTTTTACATTTCTATACGCTGCTACGTGACGAAGGCGCAATATCTTCGGGCGCGAACGCGGCTTTATCAGCTGTAGAGCGCAAGAGGCGATTTACAACGGTGAGGATACGCACGCGCCGCGTTCGCACCCTCTCAACTAAAACTGCTTCTGCGCCTTCGTCATGCAGTAGCCTATACATGCTAGTATTATGCTACGTAGAATCTGCTTTACCTGTAGAATCTGCTCAGATCTGCTCTTTTCGCAAGGAAGCTTTCAAAGTTGTCAGTAACAAGTGGAAGAGGCTGGAATAGAGATTTGATTGCATTTCTTGGTAAAGAGTAGTTATAGGGCGGAAAAGAAAAGTACTGTCCATCTGATTTGCCGCCTAAGGTACAAAGTGAAGAGTTTATTTTTTTCTGGATTCTTATATGAGAAGGACGGAGATTAGACTGAGCGAATGTAGGTCTCCTCTTGTATTCAAAGGTGATAACAGCGAGCAGGGTCATCGACATTACTTTGAAGGCAGCGTCCAGGTAGATCTGGACTTACGGGGATTTTACGTGGAAAGTACTTTTAGGGCCCTAACTAAGGCACTGCTCAAGCGGCATCGCAGGTAGTGCTCTAACGGCTGAGATATACCCCTCGAAACTGGACCCCGCGATCGTATTCGCATGAATTCATGGCAGTTTCGCGCCAGGACACACGCTTTGCGCCATGAATCCATGCGAAATACGATTGCGGGGTCCAGTTCCGAGGGGAATATCTCAGCCGTTAGAGCACTACCTGAGCTGCCGGTTGGGTAGTGGCTTAGTCAGGGCCCCAAAATTACTACCCACGTGAGATCCCCATGTCCAGACTTGCCTAGACGCTGCCTTTAATACTGACTTACCTTGTCAATAAACTGAAGCACCGCTCGACAACCTTTCACACTTTCCGAAGTGATTCGAGAGCAGGCAACTTGCCCACGTCGACGACGCTGTGGCTGCACAGAGATCCTCATCCAAATTGGTGAGACGTGACGAGAGAAACCAGTAAACATCTGAGTCCATTTTACATATTTTGATACAGTGATAGGTTGGTTTGACACGAATTACCTTAGATCCAGCTTCTGTTGTGATGGTAGAAGCTTGTTGGAAATGTTCCAGTACGTCTCCGATGACCACGTGATTCTTTGACATTTCGGCGTTTAAGACCTATAATAATAATGACCTATAATATGACCTTTAAGACAATCAACTAAACAGTTGATTTTTGATTTTTTGCCCTTGAAATGAATTTATCTGAAAGAAGTAAACGCTACCGTATCATTATCACTGTGAGGCACAAAGATCGTAATTGGCTCGGTAGAGTTCTTCATGACGTCTTCAAGCGATTTGGCCATTTCACTGTTGATCGCGTCGAGATGCTCTTTCCATGACATCACTTAAAACAAGCATTGTAAAGGGCAGTGGGCAGAATACGGCAGATGTTAAGTATTTGGCTTCTTCTATATTCTCCTCAACTAAGTAGTCGTAACAGTACCAAGCAAGTTAGCATTTACTAACAAGGAATGCTTGTTTAGTCGAAGTGGCCTTTTTTGATGGGATTACACCATATCGTAGAGCATAAAATGCTGATTCCAAATCTGCCTTCCTTATCTGCAGAACGTTTATGGACGAGAAGTTATGAGCGTTTTTTGGAGTCAAAAATTGTATGTGAAAGTGTGACAAAAATAACCGTAATACTTTTTCTAGCTCTTCAACGGAGCAATGCTAATCACTAGAACACTTCACTTGAAAAATACTCTAAAATAAAAATTATACCACACTTGGTTACGATAATTGAAGGTTAGTAAGATTTTAACAACTCATTTTATTCAAAATGCACATTCAATTTTTGGCTCCAAAAACGCTCATAACTTCTCGTCCATAAAAGTTCTGCAGATAAGGAAGACAGTTTTGGAATCAGCGTTTTATGCGCTTTAATATGGTATACATCTCATTTGGAAAGGCCACTTCGACTAAACAAGCTTCCCTTGTAAGTTGACAACGTCTCTGCTCAACTCTGCTATCGACTAACGTTTTGATGAAAGATTGCAGAAATTCAAACATTTCCATGTAAAAATATCATTACAAGAATTAAGCTTCCGTATAACCATGTCTTTTCAGAAGAAAAAACTGTATACTCACGCCCCCATTTTCGTCTACGTATCAGGGTGTAGTCAACCATATGGGCGGGATTTGCCATTTTTGAAATAATTTTTTTAGATTGGATAGCTTCCATAGCTGGAGCTTGAAGGCATGTAATATAAAGCATTCAGACTCTAAGTCTTGCGACTTTTAGAACAATCACATTGTTGGCATTTGGTTTCAAACAAGTCGTTAGTTTTGCAATTGTTTGGTTTTTCAACACTTTTTTCTTGAAAGCTTTTCGCTTCGTATTATTTAATCATTCCCTTGGGAAAAGCTGGCAAATGATGTCAGAGAACTTCGCAACTTGTTTACTTCTTGTTTATTATTTACCGTGACTCACTCCTGATTTGGAGAAAAACTCACATTCATCGCTGAACAGTACATCATCGATCAGATGAACTACTCCATTCTTTGCAAACACTTCTCCTCCAATGATCTTTGCGCGTCCGATGTGAGTCACACGCTCTGCACTTTTAATCTGGAAATGGGTAAAATAGCTGATCGTTGGGAGCGAAAACCAACCGAGCTCTATTAAGAATTTTAGCTGAAAAAAAATCATTGTAAACCACACATACAAGTTCAGATACATATATGTATGCGTATGTATGTCTAATGTGATTATACTGTTCTGGTCTCAAGAGCGTTTCTCATCCTTCAATTTGATAGAAAAAAGTCTAATTTATCTGTCACTCGCCATTAAAACAATTTACCTGGGTATGGACATCGATCTGAGTCCCTGCCAGAGAATTTAGTCGTCTATGGAATAATTGCGAAGTACAGAAGGAGCCGTTCACGACGTGGCTTCTCGCAAAATCTAAAAAAAAAACACTATGGTTTCGAACAGTTTTGTTATAATTATCCGGATAGCATAGGTAAACAAGCTCAGAAATCGATGGAATCATCATAGAGCCCGTACTCAACGGCCGCGTTGCAGGCAAGCCCCGCGTGCGTTCAGCCTACAGCGATATGTGCGATTTCGTGCAGTCGACTTTACAACTCTGACTCATTCAAAATCCTTCAAACTTTCTACGAATGTCTCCAAAATTCACGCATCGGGGCCGTGGCTAATTTAGACTAATTCTTCTGGAGAAAAACTGTCCCCTCCCCCAAGAAATTTTCCGGCTCGTACTGCTGCGTTTTATTTTGAGTAACGAATAGATCAGAAAATTTCGATTCACCCTGACCTGAAGCGCATCCTCTTCGTTCCTTGATATCGCTGATGAGTGAATCGGAAAGCGATGACAGGACTTTGTCTGATGGAGCAAACACAGTGAAAGATGATTCGTTTGATGAAAGCGATTCGCGAAGATCTTCAGATAGTACTGAAATTTTTCGAAAATCATGCTATACTTGAGTAAAATCAGAAATCAAACTTACTCGACAAAAACGAAGCAAATCGTGGATCAGCCTCCAAAGCAGCAAGAACTGTCTCGGCTGCAGGTAACACATCACCCGACGCTACGTGAATGATTCCAGTTTGAGTTCGAACGCTTGAGGTATTTATTGGCACACAATTCACATAGCTTTTCTAAAAATATAAATGTATAATATTTTTGAAATTTTCTTCCCTCCTTTCTCTTAGGTGGTTTCTTCTAGGGCCTTTCCACTCTCATTAATTCAAAAATAGGAAAAAAAGCTAAAAATAAATGAGTAAATCTCGTACCACAGTTCCAAATGCATCCTCAGACTGGGAAATGATGAGTTCTCCTCCACTGAGGGTTTTGAGTACGGTACCATCCGTCCAGTCGTATGGGCGGTAAGTACCAGGAACTATTCTGCTGGCTAGATATGACTCTGCGTCCGAAACCTGCACGAGTTGGAATCAAAATTTTTTATTGAGATATCTCTCCTCCTCTCACCCCCTCCCCATTGAAAATACGTCGCTAGCAGTGGTAAATCGAGGAAGTTCGCCCGCAACCCCGCCCCCTCAACGCGTTGCGAAATTCTTGAAAATAGTCTACATGGGTTAAAAATTGTGCAAATGACTTCTTTCTGCTTAAGAATATTAAATTGTTATATTTTATAATATAATTTATAATTTGAATTTTCAACTTAAAATATAATTTTAAGTTTTATAAATTCAAATTATAAAAGTTTAAAAAATTGTTAGAAAGAAAATCGCAAAAAACGGTGAGAATAAAATTTTCTGAGAGCATAGTATGAGAGCGGGCTGAGAGCACAAAAAGATTTTAAAAGCGCTCCAGAAATTTTTTGAAAGGCGTGGCTAAAAATACTCAAAAACTTGTTATCGCTTTTTCTTCCCTCTCCCCTCCCCAAAAGGTTTTCGGACCTCTTGCTACTAGCTGTTCAAAGGTGGTCTACATGAATTATAATATGAACGTTTTGTGCATTTGTGAATTATATGCTAAACACAAACAAAAAGTCTTACAAAGTCTTTTTTTCTAAGTTTTTGAACACCATCCGGTTTCGGGGCTAAGAACTAGACCGGTAGTGCAGCTTCCTTGGTGCTCCTCGTCAGTAGTTCCCAAGGAAGCTTCAAAATGCAATCTTCCTTCGTGGAGTGATAATATTATATTTTTCAAACTTTATACAACAGATTGAATTTGTATAAAACCATGAGGGAGCAATCTAAGGAAATGTGAAATGTTCTCGCCTCCCCCCACAGAAAATTTCTGCCTACTTATCTTTATGGTCCAAACTGTTTTCAAAAATTCTATCTCGGGTTTGCGACGAATTCTATAAAAGGCATGAGTCTGTGACAATATGTGCTAATCTTCCTTACCTCGTCCTCATATTCAGGACTAACAAAAATTGTCACATTCTTTTTGCTGAGCTCTGCCGTCGCATTTGCTCTGCTTGCAATGTCCCAAAGTGATGAATTGATGTACTCTAGCGAATCTTCTATATTTTCCAATGTGGATTCTAAAAATACGAAAAAGTGAAGATGTTGAAGCAACAAAACATTTGAATTCATGGAAAAGTAAGATGATATGTCATTGAAATTCTAACGTTTTTGCAGAAATGTTGTTGTCTGTAAATCGCCAACAATTTCGTTCAGATTGTTCAGGATGAGTGCAGATTGAATTCACATAAAAAAGTTACACCTCGTCTTGTTTCTTTACCCTCTTAGTTTTTTTTGTCAAATAAATTCAACTCACCTTTTGGACATCCATGCCTGAATATATCCTTAGTCTCGTACCCTTCACAGCATTCCTCTATTCTTGTAATCTCAGTCGTCATCTGAAATATCCTTCCCAATCTGCGCCAATTTGCAAACATTTCTACCTCTGCATCGGTTCTTCTGTCGATGCACTTATTCGCATCTCGGAATCTTTGGCAGCTCTTCTCGGATCTGAGGGTATTTCCTTCCGCGGGCCATCTCTTCGTGGTTTCGCGAGTGCAAATATGGGGACTACAAATGATTTTTTCTACTGTGTTAACCGTTGGAGGTATTTTTAGGAAAATACGGGCACTGGTACTCTTATCAGGATACTGCTGCCTAAGAGGAAGCTCATGAATTAATCCGAGACAGAAAATACAAATTTGAATTCTCGCCCACTATCGTACCGTGAATGACCCTCCACTCGGAAAGATTACGGTCTGGGTGAGAATTTATATTTGTTCTTCTCGTTCACGAATGAAGCGTACGAGCTGCCGCTTGAGCAATGGCTGAGTCTAAGGCCCCCAATCAGTATCCAGATAAAAATTTAAGTGCCCGGATAATGCTGTAAGAAAGTCTATTGGAAGAACGAACCCGTCCAAACGCTGAACTTGCAGAAGTCCACTACCGATTGTATCGAACAAATCAAACAGCTGAGTACCGGTTTTTTGCTTCGGTTCTACTCCCGGTCTCTCAATGTTCGCGTCAAAACGTCCACGTCCTCGAAGGGGATTTGCTCCATCGTCCGTAGACACCTATATAAGAAATGAGATCACGACCGGTTTTATGCCCTTGTGCAGTTTCCGAACTAACAAAAAACAAGGACATAAATGTAAACGACGTCCTTGTGCTATATAAGGCTACGTCTAAGGTGATTAAAATGACGGGAGGAATCAGGTTGACTCATGTAATGACATAGTTTTTATGATGGATGATTCAAACATTTTTATTAGCCGATTGATGTTTGATCATTAGGAACGGGATAATATCCTCGACGGTAACGGAGGAGTTTCCAAACAGATCCGTTCTCATCAAAATTCCAAGCATCATCCGGTTCAATTTAAGAAGGATTCATGACTTAACTTACACGAGATGCTCTTTCGTTGATGAGACCGAATAGATTGCCAAAGAGTGTGGAGGTCTGAAAATATGTTTTACTGAAGCATAACCGGCCAAAAAAATGGTCTTTCTGAGAACGGTTGCTGACAAAAAATTGACCTGTAGTTTTGAATAATATGAGAATAGTATATATACCCTTAGAATGACCTTGGAAAAGTTTTTTCTTCGGCACATACGCTCAGGATTTTAATTATTTAGATTCTAAGATCGAAAAATTTTGTTGAACCGATCGAAAGCAACTGCCATTGTAGAGCTCCCGAAGGAAAGTGATTTTGATAAAAATCAAAAAAGCAGTTTCGGGCGATAAAATTAGCCGGTATTGTAAAATCTCTGGCAGAATGCCAAGTAAGTAGTGCGGCTCTTTTGTACAGATGAAAAATATGCTATTTCCATATATTCGAATGGAGCATGGTTCATGGTCATTTGTGTAAAATGGTCACCTCATTTTTCAACATTTAAAATGAAAGAGAATAATAAAGTGCGGTTCATAATTATACGAACACCTCAAATTTTGAAAGTTTTTGGACTTTTTGGAAGAAACTCAAAAAGCCGTTGGTACCACGCGATAGAACACAGCCGAAAACGGTATATGATCCATAAGAATGGAAATTGATGTCAATCTTAGGAGCGTTTTTGCGCCTAATGCGAATTTTTAGCGGTTCATAATTATACGAACACCTCAAACAAAGATCCACTTTCCATTCAAGATTGCAATCATTTGAGTCCAAATTTTTTGTAGAGTTACAGTAACAAAGTTTGACATATCTGCTACACACTGAACCCAGTGCAGTTCAAAAAGAGGATCGCTACTTTTTTCAGATGCTCTAAATGTTTTTGGAGTGACTGCGCTCCAAAAACATACGTTCTTTTGTGATTTACGCACTCTAATTAGCTTGTATCAAAACTATGAGATAAAATAATCTCTTTCGATAGATATTTTGTTTGACGCTTGGAAAATCTATGCGTTTTCGTGCCGCTTTTCAACCAAGTTCCAACCTTACCCTAGAATTAGCACGTTTTCGAGCCTCAAAACTCAGCTTCGAGAGCCCTACAATGAAGTGAGCAAATAGTATGTAGAAGGTCACAAGATTGTGTATATGGCTAGAAAAAATCAGCAGCGTGGAGCGTTTATTTTGGCCACGCAGACGTCATTTCACCAAAAACACTGTTTTTACTATTGCAATCACAACTTTATTTGGTTTGTTGCTCCATAGCCTCAAAATCAGTTCTACAAAAAACGCTAAAACGTTGGCACGGATAAATCATCATGCAAAGAGCGGCTGCTTCATATCAAATGTTTGCGCGAGAGAGAAGCTGAGTTTTGAGGCTCGAAATCGTGCTAACTCTAAGGCAAGGTTGAAACTTGGTTGTGAAACGGCACGAAAACGCGTAGATTTTCCAAGCGTCAAACAAAATATCTATCGAAAAAGCTTATTTCATCTCATAGCTTTGGTAGAAGCTAATTAGAGCGCGTAAACTACAGAAGAACGGATGTTTTTGGAGCCCAATCATTCCAAAAGCAGTAAGAGCCATCTGAAAAAAGTTGCGATCCTTTTTTTGACCTGCACTGGGTTCAGTGTGTAGCAGATATGTCAGACTTTGTTACTGTAACTCTACAAAAAATTTGGACTAAAATGATTGTAATCTTGAATGAAAAATGGACCTTTGTTTGAGGTGTTCGTATAATTATGAACCGCTAAAAATTCGCATTAGGCGCAAAACGCTCCTGAGAGTGACATCCACTTCCATTCTTGTGGATCATATACCGTTTTCGGTTGTGTTCTATCGCGTGGTACCAACGGCTTTTCGAGATTCTTCCAAAAAGTCCAAAAACTTTCAAGATCTGGGGTGTTCGTATAATTATGAACCGCACTTTAGAAAATGTAAGTTGCACATTAGGCCAACCCTCACAAACCTTTCACGGAGTTTCTCGATCAGGAAAAAAACCTAATTTCACGAGTTTCGAATGTAAAAAGTGATTTCGTAGATAGTTACTTGACAAAATTAACATTTTTCAAAGTTTACACTCCCTTAGCTTTTACCATCAAAACTAACAATAAGTCTTATTTATACAAACAACACTCACTAAATCCGAGAAGCTTCCGACCACTTGTCGCTCGGAACTGTCTAATGATTGTCGCCGATATTTCTGGATAAAATTATTTCGAAGCAGTTCAGTATCTTTGGACGATGTGGACTCACCTCGCTTGGTTCTGGCAGTGTTCTTATGGTAGGCATATCATCAGAATAGTCCGAAAGCAATGAGCATATGGTGCATACAGCACCGACATCTACGATCAGCAAAGAGCAGAGCAAGAGTGTTTTTAACATTATTCGGAGTGAAAGGAGTTTGTGTATGTGCCTCTTCTAAATGGGCTGCAAGTGAAGGTTGAACGAATGTCAAAAAGACCAAAAAATTACATATGCGTGACAACCTCTGAATTCTTTATATCACAATGCCTTTAGTCCATCATTATCAAGCTAAAATCTACGGCTTTCTTATCTCGTAATTAGATTGATAGCATATCAACCTTATGTAATAGTTTATTTCTGTTAAAATTTACGCAAGGTAATAATTTGTCCGATATTTATTGCTGACTGCAAAACAGCAAGCAATTGATATTATTTTCGACAATATGGAAGAAACGGAAGATATTTCGACGAGGATTTTAGGTGTCCGAAAGTCAAATTACCAAGGATTTTGTTTTAAAAACTGGAACTTTTTGATATTCTGAGTATTTTCATTATTTCTAATTCTCTTTAAATATTTCAAAATACTGTGCTCTTCAGTCGAACTGAAATAAGTAAGAAAAATTCTATCAAACATGTATAAAAGGAATTTAACAGTTGAATTTTTGTTGAAAAGAAGCTGTTGTAAAAGTTTTGGCTAAAACGCCGTATGGTTTTTGCTACGACATAAAAATTTCACGGTCTATTAATTCATCTTGTACGATGCGAGACGTCTTTTTTTTGAGTCAACCATAAAAGTGCATTATTCCTCATCAACATTTGTAAAATCTGCGAATATGTTAAAACTGGAAAAGATCACGAGTTTTCTGAGATTTTTGGGGGAGTTCGGGTTACTTGAGCGTACTGGCTGGAGAGAAATTGCTCATGGATCAGGTAAATCATAGAAGAAAAGTGATGATCTTGCTTCTTTGCTCTAGCAACCAAGTAAAATTCCAGTTTTCTAGCAATATTTTTTCCTATTTGACACGTACATTTTTATTTTGAGCATGAACAATATGAGATCGATCTAGTTCAAAAGAATTTATGTGAAGGATCATCACATACATATATCAGAACAAATAAACAGATCTAAAATAAAAAAGCCCTCGAGCTGTGGCAGCGAGAACCAGCTGCTGATAGACGAAGATGCGATTTGAATGAAACCACAAACATAAACGGGTGGAATGTTCGAGTGTGATGACCCAAATAGAAGATACGAGCGGATAAAATCCGACGTAGTTGGGCGGCGTTCGACGACCTCAACGTCCTCGAAAACTCCGTACACTTACTGCAGTCATTACCAGAAATAGAAGTTATGAAAAAATCAGAACATCAGAGTAATGGCCTCGTTTTGTCTGATGCGAAGGAATTTTGAGTTCAAGAGGGTATTGCTAATACGGTGATCTTGGCGTTCAAGTGAAGAAACTTGCGAGGATAACGGATTTTGCAGCAAATTTTTGAACTAGTCATTTGAAACGGGATCACATAAAGAAATTTATTAGTCTACCTTAGTTATCAGGCCAAATTCTTGATGTGTTGACGACAGCTATTGCTAAAAGATTCAGCTTTGAAGATGCGCTCTCTTTCTCCAAAAAATCGACTGAGTGCGAAAATTCTGGAAGATTTTCTAGAACACACTTGGGGAAAAATGCTACGGGAATATTTTTTTTGAAAAATTTTTCGACCTCCATTAAAAAAGAAATTCTGTACGGCCGACCCAATACGTCTTTCACCGAATTTATTCTACTTTGAATACAGGAGGCTGGGAAAAGAAGCTAAGGAAATTTTTTGTGACGAATAAAATCTTTGCTGAATCATCGAACGCTCGTTTTCTGCCCACAAATCACATATGTGCAGCTCGATTCCTCGCTAAGAACGATTAGAATGGGCTTATCTGACGAAGGTTGATGGCACGATTGTCCCCCAAAACTGGTCCTTATAAATGTTGAGCTGAGAATCATGCGAGTTGTTGTGCTATCTCGAGCGTTTGGATAGAAATGAGAGGAAGCTGGATTGATGAGGTGCAAATCAGCATTTTCTCAAAAGCAGCCGCGCTTTGGCGAAATTGACCAAAATCAAATTCGAGGGTAAATAAAAGTATTATTATCCGAAGGGTATATCTGAAGTTATGGCTTGACGATCACATGCTTGTTGTTTCGTGCTTCCGTGTTAGATCTTTGTACTTACTGATAGTGCGAAATTGTCGTCTTTCTATTAGAGTTCATTATGACGTCGTTAGCAGCTTAGAATTCATGATTACTCCTGATCCTGGAGAATAAAGCAACAGTTTTATTTTTACGAATCTGGAGTTATTACTTTGAAATGATGAGTTTCAAATGTACATGCGAGAGCTGGATCCTATAAATATGTTAGAGAATTCATGTCAGGTGATAAATATAGGTCATTCGAAAAATCGTGACGATGGCGCGACCGCGACACGCACGCCACTTCCGGAAATCGCAATTTCTTGGTTTTCATCTCTAGTCGAATGGTTTTTTACTTACGTATGATGATATACAGGCACTGGAAGTGACCAAACTGAACGTTGAGGTGATGCCTCTTTGTATAAGCGTTTTATGCTCTGGTGCAAGGTCCGCAGCAAAATCCGTCGTCACGATCTTACAAATGAACTATAGCAGTTCTATTGCGAGACGTAAATTCTTGTAGGAGACCTATCATCTCAAGAAATTCAAGCTCTATTCGCAATAGAAAAAAACAGTGCACGGTTACAACTCAACCAATGTTTCGGAACACAGGTAATTTTCTTGTTTTACGGTCATTATGTGCGACAAAATGGCACTAATTCAGTGCATTCTGTCCACTGAAACTCGAGTGGTTCAAACCTTCAAATATCGTCGCAATTCTTCGTCTACAATGAAATTTTCTATATAGCATTCTGGAAGTGCAACTTATTCTCTTAATGAGACATCAATGAACTGACATCCTCGCTTTAAATCTGCTGGTGATGAAAATCTTTCTGAGAGTTTCATCTCCAAACTGCATGTGAACCCGTCTCATCAACCCAACCTTGTATAGTTTTTATTCTAATATCGTAGTAACAAGGACAAACACATTTAGCTCATCTCAGTGCCTCAAAACTATAGCAACTTCCCTCTGTAAAAAATTTGCAGGCGGTAGATAATACATTGCGAGATTACTCAGAACCGTATGACAATGTAAGTATAAGCTGCGCATACTGCAGAGGGAATGTTTGAGCTTCCGATGTCAGACTGCTGATTTTAAATATATTATCCATAATGCAGCTTTCTAGAACACCTAAAAAAAGAGGTTCACGGTGGAGGCAAGAGCTGTGCGCACATATGTATGATGATTCTTTGAGAAGGAATTTTCTTTATATTCTTTCTATGTCGAAGTGCTTAGCAACAAAAATATGTAATGCAGAGTGTATTGACTATTTCACCGAAAAGAAACGAAAACAGTAGTCGAACAGAATTCAACATAAGAACGATGACAATGAACAAAGAAGTGACAATAACAACACATATGAAAGTATGCCCAACCTCACTTTTATGAGGATGTGAAAGAATCTGATTTTGAAACGAGATATTCAGGATAAGATAAAAAGCTTTCGGTGGAAGATAATCGAATCGAATTGGAATTACTAGTGAGCGAGTAGTAGTAAAAACTCAGAAAGTGTAAACCTTTCTCCATGACCGTTCAAGCATCGTTTATTGAAGCGACGCTAGCAAGTTGAAGGCGCAAAGCAAGTCGCTAAAAAAATGCTTGCAAAGAAATTCGATCCCTTGATAATCACGATGAAATAAGTAATTCATTGGTAAAACCTTGGACAAAATCGGCGTATGTATGTATATTCAGTAAATCCTCTCAGAAAATGGTTGAAAATTCTTTAACTTCTCCAGTTTCGTTGTTATTGCTGGGAAAAAAGAATTTGTGATTTCTCATAGTATATGCAGAGTTTAACGCTAGCATGTGAGATACAAGCCGACAAAACACTCATACTGTAAAATTTCCAGGCTTGATGACAAAAAATGTTCAAAGGTACCATATGACGGCGTCGTCAGCAGAATGGTAATTAACTTGCTCTTTTCGAGTAAGAAAGATTTGTGCCGTTTGTAAATATGTCTTTACGAGTGTAACAAGCACTCATAATTTGTTTTCTTTCCGATTACCTGATTACACCACAAAAAAATCTATAATATGTGTCATGAAATATATGTTATAGCAAAAAAACATATTTAATATGCATCAGACTTTTGCCGATTTTGGTACAGCTTGAGTTTGGTGCAGGACTATGGGCGAATTCGATAAAAGTACCTTAGAAGAGTAATAAAATTTACCAAAGATAGGAAAAACTGAGCTGGATACCTCACAATCAGTGTTGTGAAGGTTTTTCTTTCGCACTATGTCAGTGTGGTCATGCCATCTCTCTCGACAAATCAATAAAATTAAGGTTTTCAACTGAGAACAGACATACTCGAGTGGCCACACTAGCAACTTCTTCCGAGATCACTTCCATAGAAATATGTAATCTTACAGTATCAAAAATGTCATAATGAATTTTGTGTTTACAGAGAAGAACGACTATTTATTAGCATTTATTATCACATTCTTTCTACAGCACTACACCAATTGAAATACAACATATAAGGCAGTTCTACAAAGAAGAGAACACATTTATCTCCTCTTGATATTGAACTGTGCGATGGCATCTCGTACTTCCTCCCAATTGGGAGCATCACCCCAGTCCTTCTCCAGGTATGAGTAAACCAAATCATTGTTTGCGATTAGATAAAATCCTAAAAATAACGGAACACTAATCGATTCAGAAGAAAGGGTCTTCAAAGCGTACCCCCAAGCAGTCGTCCTTCGCCTTCTGTGTTGCCATGAAATCCTCCTCTTCTTGCTTTGTACATATTTACATAGGTTTTGAAACGAAGAAAGCCGAGCCATAACGGTAACCAACGCTCGTTGGGACCATAGAAACGGCGCTGTAACAAAAGGGTATTACTTTTGAAAAAAGTTCCTCGATCAGTTGTATTTTGATTTTATTTTAGAGACTATAGCATGTAAATGACTATACACCAATTTTCAACGTATATCGTATGGGCGAAGCTTGTGATGGACAAAGCGGGGTTTGGCAATTTTCATCCCAAAAGATAGATAAAATTCGTAGTCGTAGTGGGCACAATTATGACAATTTCTTTTGCAGATACAAGTACATTGAACATGAAAACTCTACATAAAAAGTTTTACTGCGGTGCCTTGACAATTAGAAAACGCAAATTAATGACGTGATCCCATTCCCACACCTTATATAAAACGGCCTCTGGGTCAAAAAATATCAGAGGTCGTTTAATTTATTAGGTTGGACCGAAAGTTCGCGCACGAAGTTCAAAAATTCATAACTTCTGGTTTTCAAAACGGATTTGCATGTTTCTATTTTTATCTGAAAGACAATTCATTCTCTTCATAGCGGTACCTTAATAAGCTTAATAGATAGATAGATATAAGCGGTAGAAAAAATTAGTCAAATTTTCGATTTTCTGTGTTGGGTCATAAAAAATCGAAAACTTGCCACAAAATTGGAGCAGTCGGTATTGTAGGTTCTATTACCAGCTCTTTTTAACTGTGCAAAGTTGTGCTGTATGAGTGTGTCTACGAAAAGTTACGATTTTCGAGCAAGCAATAGAAAAGAGCGAATTTGATAATTTTGGCATTTTTCAGGAAAATCATAACTTTTCATAGAAACGCTCAATCGGCGCAAACTTTGCACGGTTAGAAAGAGCTGGTGAAAGAACCTACAATACCGACTGCTCTGATTTTGTGGCAAGTTTTCGATTTTTTATGACCCAACACAGAAAATCGAAAATTTGACTAATTTTTTTCTACCGCTTATATCTATGCAGTGTATGCTCATTAACCTACCGCTATGAAGAGAATGAATTGCTCTTTCAGATAAAAATAGAAACATGCAAATCCGTTTTGAAAACCAGAAGTTATGAATTTTTGTCGTGCGAACGAACTTTCGGTCCAACCTAGTACTTCCATAAGTGGATCACAATCCCAATTCTCAGCCAAACATGCACAAAACCTACAAATTGCCAGGAAGGAAATTTTTTTTTTGAAAACTGGCACGGTGCCAAATGAGATTGCTACTCGAAAGCTGGTATCTGGAACCATATGATGTGGAGAAGGATTGATTTTTGCCGTAATTTTCATTCTGGTTATCAACCTATAACCACAACCACACTATGAGTTAGATACCAGGTACGTTTATTTGATAATTTTTTTTTCCTTTTTTCTCCTATCTCTCCTCATAGAACGTTTTGCGAAACTGACGAAAGTCTCCAATCACAGAAAAAAATTTCCGCTTTTCATATATTATGCACAGTCCAATGGCGTACCGAGGGGGGGGGGCCCCCGGCCCCCCCCCCCCCTCGGTACGCCATTGGACTGTGCATAATATATGAAAATACCAGGATTTCGGCTCGGGGGGGGGGCGCGCCCCCCCCCCGAGAATGGGTCGCGAAATTTTTGAAAGTTACCTATATGGGTTATAAAAATGTGCAAACGACTTGTTTATTTTTGTAAATAATTAAAATATTTTTTAAAATTTTTTAAACATTCAAATTAGCCTTATAAAAAAAATTTTTTCGGGGGCGTGGCTGACGCCACGCCCCCTTTTTCCAGATTTAAGGGGTTGGGGACCTGCCAGAATTTTGAGAAGCACCCCAAAAATTTTTTCGGAGTGCGTGGCTAACGCCACGCACCTTCATTAGAAAAAATTTTTTGTCGCGCCCCCCCCCCCGAGCCGAAATCCTGGGTACGCCACTGGCACAGTCTGAACATGCTTAATCGCAAAAGGATCATGAATGCTCCCCTCCCAGCTTCTTTTCTAACCGCACCGCCACTTCCTTTGCTCGCAAAGACACGAATTTACAGATACTTAATTTACAGATACTCGAATCTTGTAAAATCTTGCGTTTTGCTATCTTAGTCTTTCGAGGATTCTCCCCCCCCCCTCCTCCTCCACTCCTTTTCACCCAGTAACTTCTTAATCAAGTTTCCTGAAGTACCGATTTTGTGACTGAACCGCGTCCCAAATCCGACAAAGCAATCCCAGCCATGTGCACTCTTCCCACCCGGGACTCTGTTTCCCACATTGAGTGACCCTGCAAACTGCCTTAGAACCTCCACCCAAAAGTTTTAATCGGACTATTTTTATCTCTTTCCGAAATTGGATTTTTCGAATCGATATTCTTGAAAATATATAGCTGACATCGGAACCACCAAATCTAAAGCTTTTCAAATTTGAACACTCTATCTCTTCAAAAGTATTCTTTTTGAGAGAGTCACAATTCCTATTCTACTTCAAGGAATTTACTGTCAAAACTCGTTCGCGTTTTATGAGGTTCCCCAGCTGTCCAGCATCCTCGCAATTCATCCGTAGGCTCCAAAATCCACTCAATTTTCAGGTTATCTTATTAAGCAAGTTCAAATTTTAGAAGGGACCTACTAAAAGGTGTTTATACTTCTAGCTGCTCACCTAGGCAGATTTCGTTCCTTATACAATTTTGAAGTTGTGCAATAACTTGGCAAAGCTGTGCTGTAGTTTAGTAAAGCTATAGATTAGTAAAACCAACTTGCATGTCGCCTTGTCTCTTATTCGTAGCTGAGATACCAACGACAGATTCATACAGTACTAATCCTAATAAAATCAATTACGATCGCATTGACGTTCTTTTGATTTCTCCACGAATTTTTGATGTTTGAAGCAAAACTCGGGAATTTGTAAGTGATTTCCTTAGCGTTTACTGTTTTCTAGCTGAAGTAGGCTTTTGCATTCAGCTTTTATCGAGTTTCAAGATAATTTGCATGATTACGCTGTATTTGTCTGGAAAGATAGATGAAGAAAGATGCTTCGTACAATTGTTGGCAACTATCTAAAAGGTTCACACAGTATTGAGATTTCAACTCAATGGAGTCAGAGCTTCGAAGTTCGTCAACTTTGACAAACATCTTTGGATGTAGATTGAGAAGAAGCCGTCTAAAGAACTGCGTGGTGAAGGCATTTCAAAAAAATGCTCATCCAGAAAAAAAGACAGAGAATGTCCAAAATAAACTTTGCGAGAAACCTTCAAAAACAGATTTAGTGCAGTTTATCTGAGATAACAACGTTCACTAAGCCTTCATTGAGAACTTCTTCTTGCTGAGATATGTTAGCAGAAAATTTAGGAGAACAGAATGATTGAAGGTTTGGTGCAACTGTTTTACGGTGAGGAAACATGCTAAGCACTCGAGAAATGAACCATGGAAGACTGCAGTATTTTACTAAAATACCTGACTTTTTTCGAAAAACTTATGCTGCACTTCAATTCAAACGCTCCATAATAGAAAAAGAGAAGCGAGATGCCAAAAAAAAAAGAACGTAATGGCGGTGAGATAATGTACAAACGATTGGACCAACCCTTGATGACTTTCGAAGTGAAACTATTACAGTCGGTGGAAGAGTTCAATCAATTCAGTCGTGACAGTTCAAGTGGTGTTAATTTCGCCGCTTTTGGTGCCAACTCGTAAACATCGATGAAGAGCATAGCCGAAAACTCTGGAGGCAGCATTGTATGACGTCATCAGCGCGACTCATTTTGGCTGCCGGGCGCGTTGCCATTAGTGGTAAACAATCGCGGAACAGACATACATGCTGACTCACATGGGGGTGCTAGCGCTTTATAGATAGTACCAGTCCAAAGCGCCGCTTCGCGGCGCTTTGGACTGGCTGTGTGTGTGAAATGGGAATGTGACTGGAAGTTAGAACCCCTGAAGATTTGTAGCGAACCTTTTCCTCTCCAAAAGTATGACACGGATTCAAATACGTAACGATCCCAGAAGTTATCAAAGTCACGGATTTTTTCTACTGTCGAAAGTTTCGGAAATTTTCTTATCAAAAATGGCAACAGAATTGTGAACGCTCCCCTCCCAGCTTCTTCTAACAGCACCGCCACTTCATTAGCTCGCAGAGACACGATTACAGATAATTTATTTATAGATAATATACAGATCTCGAATGTCGTATAATCTTTTGCTGTCAAAGTCTTTCGAGGATTCCCCCGCCCCTCAACTCCTTTGCACCCAGTAGCTTCTTAATCAAAGTTCCTGAAGTACGATATCTTCTCGCGATCTCACAGTCTTCGGTTGTAACTTAGATTTGGGGGGCACTTCAAAAATTGCCCCCAAATCTGCTTATTCGAAATGTTTAGCCTGATCACGATTGAAACAGACTTAGCCCGAGTCCTCCATTCAAACTTTCACACGTGAAAAAACGAAATGTAATTTTTTGTGATGAAGCGCCTGTCCCAAATCCGACAAAGTGATCCCAGTCATGTGCATCCCACCCGGGGCCCTGTTTCCCACATTGATAACCCTCCAAATTGTCTTAGAGCCTTCACGAAAAACTCTAATCAGACTATTTTTATCTCTTTCCGAAATTAAATCAGCAAGAAAATTCGAACTGATGTTCTTAAAAGTATATAGCCAACATTAGAACTAGCAAATCTAGAGTTTTTCAAATTCGAACATTCCCTCTTTTTTTTCACAGAGTATTTTTTGAAAGCGTCACAATTCCTCTCCCACTTCAAGGTATTTCACTGTCAAAACTCTCGTTCGCGTTTTATGCTTCCCAAACTGTCCAACATCTATGCAATTCATCCTAGGCTCCAAAATCCACTCAATTTTCAGGTTATTTTATTAAGCAATCTAAAATCCTCGAAGGGACCTACTCAAAGGTGTTTATGTTCCTAGCTGGCTCACTTAGGCAGATCTTGTTCCTAACACAATTTTGAGGTAGTGCGATATTTTGAAAAAGCTGCGCTGTAGGTTACTGAAGCTTTTGTTTATGTGAAGCCAACTTACATGTCACCTTGTCTCTTATTCGTAACTGAGAGACTAACGGCACATTCACACAGCTTTTAGTCCTAATAAAATCAATCACGATCGCATTGACTTTCTTCTACATTGCTCTTCGAATTTTTAATGTTTGAAGGAAAACACGGGAATTCGAAAGTAGTTCCTTTAAGGTTTACTCTTTCTTAGCTGAAGAAGGTTTTTGCATCCTTTTATCGAGTTTCAAGAAAATTCGCATGATTACACTGCATTTGTTCGGAAAGATAGTGTTTCGTACAATTGTTGGCAACTATCCAAATAGTTCACACAGTATTTAAATGTCAACTCGAAGGACTCAAAGATTTTCGAAGTGCATCAGCTTTGACAAACATCTTTCCTTGTGAATTGAGAAAAAACTGCCTAAGGAATTGCCTGTGGTTTAGGCATTTCAAACGAAGTGCTCATAAAAAAATCTTAGACAGATTGTCCCAAGTAAAGTTTGCGAAAAACCTCCAAAAACAAATTTTGCGGTTCTGGGATAATAACATTCACTAAGCACTTCATGGAGAACAACTATGTTGCTGAAATATGTTAGCAGAAAAATTAGAAGGACGGAATAATTGAATATTTGGCGCAACTGTATAAGGTGGAAACATACAAAGCACTCGAAAAATGAACTATGGAAGACTGCAGTACTTGCTAAAATACCTAACTTTTTTGATTTGTGCTGCGCTCCAAATTAAACGCTCCATAATAGAAATAGAGAAACGAGATGTCAAAAAATGGTAGTGAGATAATGTACAAACGATTTGAAAACCCTTGATGATTTTCGAAATGAAACTATTGCAGTCAGTGGAACAGCTTAATCAATCCAACCGCTGATCGTGACAGTTTAAGTGGTGTTAATTTCGCTGGTTTTGGTGCCAACTCGTAAACATTGCTGAAAAGCATAGCCGAAAACTCTGGAGGCAGCATTGTATGACGTCATCAGCGCGACTCATCTTGGCTGCCGGGCGCGTTGCCATTGGTGGTAAACAATCGCGGAACAGACATACATGCTGACTCACATGGGGGTGCTAGCGCTTTATAGATAGTATGGATATGGATCGAGTGCTGGACTTGAGCTGGCTTAATGGGTGTCTCTATGCTTTATTCGATGTTACTTGATGTTCTGAGTGATTCCGTTGACTGTTTATGTGTGGCACGCCTTGTGCGTATCAAATAAATCAAACAATTTAAAAATGTACCACTGCTTTGTAAAAAAACACCGAAGAGTGACACAAGTATTAGTGAAAGGAATATTACCTCCTTATCATAGTAGACATCTCCCTTGAAGAAGGGTTTGAAGTCATTCACACCTTTAGTCTCGTGAACGACAGCAATCTGAAAACTCAGATTTGTTTAAATGACTGATTGTATGAAAGAAGATTTAGACTGCGTCGTTTCAGAGGTGCCGACTATGCATAAAATGATCTTACTATTTAAAAAAATTGCTATGTGTTAATTGATAGCTACTAATCAAAATCACTATGCGTTTTTTTTTCACGTCAAAAGAAAATTATCGGAAATTTGCGAGATTTGAATGTTCAAAAGAAAAAAATCGAGTACTTTTTCCAGAACACATTATTACATGAAAATCTCTACCAACGCTTTTACTCTTCTCCTACTTTTTTCACTTATTCTTTCAACCATTTCTCTGTTACCGATGTTGGTTTCAACACTATCAATGATGGATAGCTTAGTGGAGATTTCTTCTTGTGTCGCTACGTATGAAACATGTGTTTTCTCATCTCAGGTAACGGTCACACACCAAGTTAACGCCAGCTGATTTCATGTTCGGTTCAAGGTCGCTCAATTCGGCAGCTTCCCTTCGGCATGTCAAACATCCTGGCCGACGTACAGCCATTACCATGGTTGGAGCTTTGGCGAAAAGTGAAGCAGCCTGCAAGTTTTTAGGTATAGTCTTTCAGATTTTACGGTTAATGTAGTGCTCCTGCGATAATGATAACATTTGCGCGGAAGCAAGTAGCATGCATCTGAACGTCGATGACTTGCTTTCGACTTATGCGTAAAAAAGGCCTTGGAGGCACCGTCCACCCAAATCGAGGGCGGTAAAGTTTTAGTACGGTAAGATAATGAGGTTCCCAACTAAGTAATTGTTAAGTACCACCGCAAAAGGTGAAGTCAAACGCGAGAAATTCGCTCCAGAAGGTGGAAGCGGCGGTGGTTGCTCCGCCCTTCAACATGCTGATCTGAAGTTACAAGTCCAGAAGTGAGATGGATGTGGATCGATGTGTCTAGAATTGCCAGAAAATCGTTAGTCATGATGAAAAGCGGGATTTCTCACTATTTTGGACATATCCAAGCCCATTTTTGGACTTGTATCTCCAAACCACCCACGTTGGTAGGCGGAGCGACCACGCCGCTTTTACATTCTAAAGCAATTTTCCTCGCGTCCGACTTTACCTTTTTGCAAATGAACTTTGACATTACTTGGTTAATGGCCCCGCTATGTACCGTATCACAAGCTTGCCACCCTCGATTTGGGTGGACAGTGCCTTTGAATCAACATTGCTTTCGCGCGAATATTGCCGGCAACGCAAAAACATATACTATTCGTAAAGCTACCTAGGCCACATTCATAACTTCGCGAAACATTGATGGCTTATCTTACCTTCAGCGCCCTTGTCTCATCAACACGAGATTCATCAGGAACTGGAACTAGCCGGGCTTCGGAAAGATACGCAGCAGTTGGAGTAGAAGTTCCAACAGTCATGCTTGTGGGAAGATTGGCGTAAAGGACTGCGCCACCTAGCGCAGCCAGCGCTCCATAGGTGAGCTTCTCCATGCTTGGTGATTTGTGGAAGGAGGCGGGATCTAAGTTGAAGTCCAGGAACTCCACAAAATATTCGATGCAAGCAACAAAAAATTGGTGAAAGAGGTAGATTATGAATTAGAAAAGGAAATCACTGAAGTATTGATAGAATTGTAGAAGTAGCGCAATTAGCTGTAATTAGAGTAACGAAACTTCGTAATAAAATGGGTTGAGGGCTCCTGATTTGAAATAGTTATTTTCAAGTGTTGTACCGAGCATCTCAGAGAATATGTCTAGCCGTTATTTAGATAGCTCTCTTTCTCGAAATCATTAGCGAGTCATGAAAGATGCCAACTTGCTTCAACTTAGATTTGCAGTAATTCTCATGGAACTATCTCAGACGGGCAGATTTCCTCATTCTAATTATGCATTTTGCACCTGCCACATACACCTAGTAACTTCTGAACGTGGCATAAATCCACATTCTAATTTGCGCTTCTTGCTCGATGCTATAAGGGCTGTCCCGAGTTTTGATAAAGTCCACGTGCCTAGCCCACAAATTTTTGCTTCAAAAAAATGGAAAAGAACGCAGACAACGTCGGTGAAAACAGAAGTAACAGAAGGTGATGAGTTTTGTTGAAAGCTCTAAAATTAATTTTTTTCCGCATGCGTTTTGATCAGCAATGAGAACAATTCTCCTTTTGCATTTTTTCGTAGTAAAAAGTAGTATTCCGTTGGTCAACCAGAACCAACCTGAATTTCACTTTGAAAACAGCGACAGTGATTTACTTCCACAGATTCGCCCTACTAAGGCTTTTTTAAAGTGTAATGTTCCCAGCAGCGTTTGAATCGTGATTCTCTACTGTAATCTTGAGTGATGAATTAGTGAATACAGAAGGTTTAATTTATCAATGGTCAAAAAGGGGGCACATTTCCCTGTATATTGCTGAATCTGTTGAATAATTTCTTTGCTTTTAACCCTGTATACTGTTGAATCTGTTAGATAAATCCTCTGCTTTCAATCTTATATATAAAGCTGAATGTCTGTTTGTATGTATGTCTGTCTGTCTGTCTGTCTGTCTGTATGTATGTCTGTGTGTACGTATGTTCCGAATATAAAATTCCATTTCTGAACCGATCCGGACCAAACTTGGCACACATACACTTCGGGCCCCGGCGCGTGTCATAGGCTACTTTTCGTCATCGATCGATATCGATTTTATCGATTTTCATCGATTTTTTTGCTGAGTTCACCTACGGGGCTGGGAGTTGGCACAGGGGGGTAATCGAGCATGGAGATTCCGAATACAATATTGGTTTTCAGGATTATCGATTACTTTTATCGATTTTATCGATTTTTTGCAAAGTTTGAGCTACGGGGCTGGGAGTTCGCACAGGGGGGTAATCGAGCATGGGGATTCCGAATACAATATTGGTTTTCGGGATTATCGATTACTTTTATCGATTTTATCGATTTTTTGCAAAGTTTGAGCTAGGGGGCTGGGAGTTGGCACAGGGGGGTAATCGAGCATGCTGATCATCCCCAAGGGGGTTGATCAGCATGCTCGATTACACCCCTGTGCCAAATTCCAGCCCCCTAGCTCAAATTTTGCAAAATCGATAAAATTGATAGAAGTAATGGATAATTCCAAAAACTAATATTGTATTCGTAATCTGCATGCTCGATTACCCCCCTGTGCAAACTCCCAGCCCCGCAGGTCAAACTTTACAAAAAAATCGATAAAATCGATAAAAGTAATGGACGATCCTGAAAACTAATATGTGTTCGTAATCAGCATGCTCGATTACCCCCCCTGTGCAAAATCCCAGCCTCGCATGTCAAAATTTACAAAAAATCGATAAAATCAACAAAAGTAACCGATAATTCTGAAAACTAATATTGTATTCGGAATCCCCATGCTCACTTCCCCCCCCCCCCCCTGTGCCAACTCCTAGCCCTGTAGGTGAACTCTGCGAAAAAATCGATAAAAATCGGTAAAATCGACATCGATCGATAACGAAAAGTGGACTGTGACACGCGCCGGGGCCTGAAGTGTATGTGTGCCAAGTTTGGTCCGGATACGGCGGAGCCGGGTAAGCCAGCTAGTTATATCATAAGCCAAATTCCGATCATGGAGTGAGATAGATATGATTTATACGATAATGGGAACACAGTTTCCCTCTGCTATGCTATTTATGCTCCGAAGCGCTAGCACTACGGATTATCAAAAAAAATTTTGACAATTTGACTCATCGAAAACAGTTCTGATCTATGCATGTAACCGTATCAAGTAAATAGTGCAAGCCCTGAAAATCTCGGTTTGAAGCGAGTTAATCGAAAAAAAAAACATTGTGTGTCACATGAATTAGCTACAAATAGATTCAACACTACTTTTTTAGGTCCTCAGAAGTATGTTGACAATTTCAACAATATTTTGCATGTTTCGTACTTAACAGTTAAATTGTAGTTTCGCAAAACACAGTTAACAGGCTAAAACTTTTCTATCGGGGACCAGTATGATGCATAAAAAAATTGGAATCCACTTGCATGATAGAGTCCTACATTTGAAGCATCTCAGCATTCATGATTTTGCCCTATAAATATGCAGTCATTGTGGCAAATTTCGAATCACTATACCAACTAATTTTTCATACCAGGCTGTGATGAAGATCATTTTTACATCGAACATAATGCAATCTAAAGAGAACAAAAATCATGCTCAAATCTCCGTTATCCAGCTTCATCAAAGTTCGCAGGTATGAAGACAGTTGTGCATCAATAAATCCACGGAAGTGACCGCTAGGCAAAGCACGGCCAACAAAGTGCAGTTCTTATGTATGCCAAAGGTAACACGAAAAGAGATAAATTACGCCAACAAAATAAAATATGAGAAAGAGGATCAGAACACAAAGAGTTACATCCACATCAAGAGACTAATCAGTAGAGCCAAAATAGTCAAGAAAATGTCTGATTTCCTTCGCTTATGACATCCGAAACCCTAATCTGGCCGTAAATTTGTTAAACTAAATTGATGTATCAGATTATTATCAAATTATCAGGAAAAGGCTCAGAAGTTTCAATACACCAAGATCTCGTTACAAACCATGTCAATTCCATATTTTTACGCCAATCTAAATTTACGTTCATCTATGATGATCAAATGCCCAACAAAACTAGTGTTTACTCGGAGAATTCTTGAACGATGTGGAAAAGCTTATAAGACTCTACAATTCAGTCCTAACGTATTCAATGTGCATTTGACAAATTAGATGCTAAAGATACAAGATTGAAGGGGTGGATCTGGCGAAGTAGATTCGTGCAGCAAGAAAATGGATAAAAAGTAAATGCCGTGAATCTATGAGCTAAATTGAATTTTTCTCAACTAATTTTGCAATAACGAAGAAAATAAGCGAAGGAAAAATGTAATCAAATCGTCACAATCAATCGACAGACATTGAGGGTGCAAACATCGAATTTCGTGAGCCGCGATGTAAAAAATAATCAACAAGAGCGCAATGTCTCATTGTTAGAACAATAGTAAAAATTCAGCACAAACTTCTAGAAAAAATTTTTAAGAATCAAATTCCAGATTCTTAGATTCAACTTCAGCAACACAGTTTAGATTCCGTTCAGCTCAGATTTTTTAACACCTGAGTGACTTTATCTAATCAATTGTTTTTTCTCATATAAAAATTCGAGGAAAGCGGTCCTGTAACAAGGAAAACTTATGCAACAGGATATCTAACAAAATGAAAAGGAGCATTTATATGGATTCAAAAAAATTCTGAAAAAACCCCCATTTTTTCCCGCTATTCTCCTAGAGGAGTTTTTGACGTCAACACTTTCTGCTGCACTGAAATTGGAAATGAACAAATGGCTGATATCAAGAGAGATGGTCTTTGAGCAGCGAACTGCAGTGGCAGTCAACGAGTCCGTGCAGACAAATCGATAGAAAAAACAGCGCATGCAAAAACAACGCTCGGTCAATGTTTTATTAGTTTTTCTGCGCACAAAATTCAACTAATAAAAGAAGGTCAGAAGATCTAACAAATGATAAGAGAATTACGCATCTTCTCTAGTAAAAGTTGTACTTTTCGAAAAGAAACATTATTTTCATGTCCATGCAACTCAAATTTTAGTTTTCGTTAATTTTTCACGAAATAGACTTCCCAAAATAGATAAATCGATTCAAACAAAGTAAGCAGGTATCACTGTTACGACTGCTGCAGACGACGGCGGCAATGTAAACATTGCATAAGAAATAGCAGCCTAGCATTCTCTCTGAGCTTAGCAAATAATTTTTTGTAAGATACAAATTGCTAGCCGATGAGGATGGTAATGCTAACAACACGTTAATTTTTATTCGCTTGAGCATTTGCTCTTAACATTTTCAAAATGTTCACTTCATCTAGCACAGAAAGAAAACCTGTCGAGATATAGCAAAAGAATTTCGCATAGGCCAGTATAGAAGGCTAACATACCGTTCTTGCTTTAACGACAATTCCTGCGCGTAAAAATGCCCATGGGCGCAAAACATGGGTCTTTTCGCGCAAGACTTGCCTGCACCGGGGCGGCTTATCACTCCTTATCCTTATTACTGTCAAATCGGACTATACCACAACCAGTTTTTGCAGCAACAAAAATAGGGTGAATAGACCGGATAAGCGAGACTGCTACAATAAATAAAGCAGAGTTTGGATGGGTTCAAGATCCACCCGAAGCACCTCATTACAATCTCATTTGTCGTATTCCTCTATGATTAAACAGCTGGGTTGCTTCTCGCTGCTCAAAAAATAACATATACGTTTTTCTACCTTTCAAAAACGAGCACCTTCGTGTTCAGCCACAAAGTCGTAGATTTGCCAAATATTCTCATTCCACGATTTCAAAAGGCAACGCTGCAATTTGCAGAATGAACCTTTAAAGTCAAACACCACGGCTCACAAGCAATGCATATTGATTTCTTCTTTGATTTTTTTACACTACATAACGAATAGATCATTTATCACAGGTAGTTTCATAGCTCCGATATTCTAAGTACTGAATTAGCAATGTAAGTACTGAAAATAAAAACTGTAACATAGGAAAAGATCTATGGAAAGGAAAATGCATATGATATGTGAAAGGATACGAGATAGACAATAGACAATAGGAAAAACAATTCATGGCTTGCGGATCAATATAGCCATCGCTTCTCCTCCACCATTGCAAATGGCTGCAATTCCCAATGCACCGGACGGTAGCGAATGGGCCAAGGACACCACTATCCGTAATCCAGACATCCTCAAATGCAAGCAATATCTAACAATAATAAGTTCTATAGCACTAATTTCTTAATATTCCTATTAAAAAGTAAGTTTGCAAGTCTTTGACAATTGTTTTAGATTTTGAAAAAAAAGTGTCGGAGAAGAATGATGGAGAGGGGAGGGGGAGGAGAGAACTTAGCACGAAGAGAAAAAGCTGTGTAAGAACGAAACAATCTATGAAAGGTATCGAATGCGGTCTCTACTAGCCGCTCATGCCAGATGGCGTATTGAATGGGCGCGTGATGTTGTTGTTTACTAGTGAGGGTACGGAAGGCGCAGACATGCAGAGGTTGGTTATTCTTCGCAATCACCTTGAAATTCGTTCAGGTGGGGGGGGGGGGGAGAGCGGAAGGGGGAGAGGGGAGTGCTATAGCAGCACCTGGGTCTTATTTTGGCATTATTTGTCAGTACACTGCAATGCCGGGAAAATCAACATAAGTTTGCGCTTCTTGAGCGAAAATGTTTCCAAACTGTGGGAATTCTAATTAAGCCGTTACTTATCCGTACTTGATATGTTGCTGCCCCGGCATATCAACGCTGAAATCTCGCCCATTACCGTACCCTTTGCTGACTGAGTACAACTGCGCAAGGAGAGCTGATTTCGGTCAGTCGTTCATAATCGCCGGTCGGGCAATGCTCAATCAAGGCCTCCCGATCAAACCGCATAAGAAGTTCAAAAGTTCGATACCCATACCCAACACTGCCTTCAAAGAACTGTTCAATCAAATGTGAAACTGGTGAGATTTTGATGCCACACAATAGAGAGGTAGCTAACTAGAGGAGGCCCAAGCCCCGCTATAAAAGGTGATTCCCGAAGCAAGGAAATAGCTCCAGAAGATGGATGCGCCACGGGTGCTCCCCCCCCCCCTCCCATCAATATCGTGGGGTGATAAACTCGAAACAGAGGTTAGAGTATGTGTTATGTAGAAATTATATTCCTGTAGAAAGTATTCAGAGATGTAGAAAGTACATCCCCCACAATTAGAATGCGGATTTGTAAGATTTCTACTCTGGACAGTTTCGGGCTCATTTTTATCAAATCACCAATGTTGATGGGCGGGGCGACCTCAGCCGCATCTATTTTTTGAAGCCGTTTACTGGCCTCGTACTGACCGCAGCTGATGGGCATTTATTCAGTCAGAGGTCCCGCTATCCACATTAAACATCAAACTTAGGGTGGACGGCTTTCTCTCTCTCTCTCTCTCTCTCTCTCTCTCTCTCTCTCTCTCTCCCTCCCTCCCTTCGGTTTCTCTGTCTCTCTCTTTCTTTGAACAAGGTTACTTACCCCAATGGATGCCCTAGAGCAACAGCTCCACCCTTGATATTGACCTTTGCAGGATCAAGACTCAACTCCTTTATGAATATCAAAGCTGTAACCGAGAATGCTTCGTTGAGCTCCCACAAGGCAATATCGGATACGGACAAGTTTTCTTGCTCCAAAAGCTGTAAAATAACGGATGATTATGGCTCAAAGATAGGGAGAGAGGATAGATACCTTCTTTGCTGCGGATACTGGAGCAACCGTGAAATCTACTGGTTCTCCACCAGCTTCTGCAAATGCGATAACCTCTGCTAATGGTGTGAGCCCTGAAACGACAGGCGACTGTTAATGGCTGGTTTTGCTTTATCAAACAAGTACCGTTTGGGATTTGATCTCCTCTAACTACCGTAGCTGCCACAGCCCCATCATTGATAGAGGAAGCATTAGCCGCAGTGATGGTACCCGACCCGTCTTTGAGAAATGCAGGGTTCAAACTAGGTACCTAAAAATTTACTTTTTCGAAAATGGAGCATACTCAACGAGAAAAATAATGGGAGAAATGAATGAATGTTTTCAGTATTAAGCATTACCTTCGTCTCAATAAGCTTCTTATACTCTTCATCCTCGGATACAACAACAACTCCTTTCCTCGTCTTCACGCTAACTGGTATGACTTCTTCAGCATAGAGACCATTCTAAAATATAGCGTGAACACGATTTACTGGAAAAGGTAAGCGAAGTATGCTTACCTTCCAAGCTGCTGCAGCTTTCTTATAGCTGTTTATAGCATACTCATCTTGGGATGCACGGCTTATACCGTACTCCTGAAGAGGGGATCACCAACGCAGCATATCAAAAATCCCCAAAGTGGATCAACAAAAAGGATTACCTTGGCAGACTTTTCTGCGCACAACCCCATTGACTGACTGAGAGTGGGATCTTCCAAACCATCTCTTTGCAAACCATCCTGAGCGGACAGGCATTTGGTAAAGCAAACCAACACAACTTAACTCTTACCGTGATTTTGGCACCACCATACGGTATCTCACCACGGTCGAGGTAGAAAGGCACCTGCAAATTATCAAGTTTGATGAATTGCTACAAGTAAGGTCCAAAAATTTTACCTTACCTGGCTCATGTTTTCGCACCCAGCGACAAGCACCTTTTTTCGGTAACCGCACTTGATTGACATATGAGCAAAAGCTAAAGCTTTCAAGGAAGACGAACATACTTTGTTTACGGTAACGGCTTGGGCAGATTTGGGGATACCTGACATCAGTCACACATAACAAAAACTCACATGGACTACCGTGATCGTAAGCTTACCAACAGAGATAGCAACTTGTCGAGCAACATTTTGTCCGCAGTTTGCAGTCAAAACGCAACCAACAATGGTTTCTTCGATATCCTCAGGAGAAAGACCTAAATACAGAGAATCGAAAAAAAAAAGAGGACAAAAAGAATGACTTACCCGATATTTCAATAGCGGCTTGAGCTGCAGTAGCACCTAACTCTACAGCACTGACTGTGGAGAATAATCCTCGAAAAGAAGCTATGGGAGTTCGTACACCAGAAAGGAGAAAGACTCGCTGAAACAGATTCTCTCACAACGAACATGAGTTTCCTAACGACGAGCGCTGAACTACGCCCCACTTCTTTTTTTACGATTAGAGGGAAACAAAATTATAATCGGTTCTAGCACCATGCTTAATGGATTTCGCGAGAGTTCTTAATTTGTCACTACTCAATTCTCGACAGACATTAACACTACAAGCCGTGATTTTCTCAAGTGAAACTTGGCTAGGTGAACACGGTTAGAAATGTAGATGACAATTCAGATGTAAAGATATTACTTCAGAATAAAATTTGATTCTATAATTTGCTAATGAAGCCTAACTTGTTGACTTGAGGTGACTAAATAGAAATGACTGACCACGTCTCAAACAAGGAAATTAGGTTCTCATCAAAAAAAAAACCCAGATCATTATTTTAACGAAGTTTTCAGATCATAGAAAAAAACTAACCGTATCACTGGACATCTTCTATGACAAATCTAGCTTGACTAGAAAATATTGATGAGATCAATACCTGTAAATTATATTGATAACTTTCAACAATGACCACAGTGTTCAAAAACAAGATCTGCGTAAGGAATACGAAGAATAAGACCACCGAAAACAAGCATGGATTCCTCCAACGTTTATTTGGCTGCTAAACTTGAGCAAGTGAATGCACTCTTCGAAAATATATGAGGTGATTAGCAAGGCTGATATGAAAAGGACACACAAACATCTGATAAAAGCAAAGTGCACATTTGAGCAAGGTGAATGACTCAAAGAGGTAAACCATGACAAATTGAAGTAGAGCGCCTGGTTCAATGATGACTCATAACTTTTCCACAATCATTCCGCTAGCACCACCACCGCCATTGCAGATGGCGGCAAGCCCTTTTTGGCCAGACTTAAGGGCGTGAACAAGATGCGTGATAAGGCGAGCGCCGGACATTCTGAAAGAACGTGCATAAGAAAGAACAGAAGTGATAACGCAGTTTTAACGACAAACCCGATAGGATGTCCTATAGAGACAGCTCCACCATGAGGGTTGACCTTTTCTGGATCGCATCCAACCTGCTTGATGAACGCTAGCGGAACGACGGAGAAGGCCTCATTCACCTCCCACTGGTCGATGTCCTCCATTTTCAAGCCAGCCATTTTCAGTAGCTGAAAAGTAAAACAAGCACTTCAATCTATCTCCAAGAAAAACCACTCCCAAAAAAAGCAAAAACATTTTGATCTACAAGCGGAAAATGGAACTCTCAAAAATGTCCATAGATGGAAAAACCAAGTATTTTAAAAATAGGTGCAAAACGCAGGGAGTTTTTGGTAGCGTCAACCTCAAATTGACATTAGATAAACTGAAAGTAGGGATGGCAGATTTAAAGCGAGCAACTTGATTTTGATCCAGCCAAAGGGGATATGTGAATATTTCACCCTTTTGGCTGGATCAAAATCAAGTTGCTCACTTTATAAGTATGCACAATCGCACTAACAGACAAATAAGACCATAAAAATAGTGCTACAAGTCGCCGGTTTTCCCAATTACTACGCGTTTATATCTTTTCAGAACCTTCAGATGTCCTTTTCCAAACTCGCAATGGTCCTCGCCTCAATAACGCTACGCGAAGTTGAGTGCACAACACCACATGATTTTGTCTGGGTGTCGCACCATCAGGTGATGGGTCACCTAGCGATAACGTGCCCAAAGCAGCATATCATACGAGCCTCAGGAAAAGCGCGATAGCATCTTACACTTCCGGACCGACCAAAAGTTCAAATTCGGAAAGCTGAAAGCCCTACTTATCAGTAGCTTTCAAAACATCAATTCGAGATCAGGTCAAAAACTTTACAGGAAACGTATGGATACCGATGCGATGTCCGCGCTAAGAGAAACGTACCGTAGTTTATACCGTGACCTTTTCCCCAAACAACGAGATTTTAATAGCAATAATAGCAATGAACCATAAACTCCAATTACTGACCTTTGGCACTACAAGTGGAGGTGCAAGAGCAAAGTCAAGTGGATGTAAAGCAGCATCAGCAAATGCAAGTATTCTTGCGATGGGTTTTAGATTGTGTTGTTTCACGGCGTCGTCACCAACAAGCAACACAGCTGCAGCAGCGTCATTCAGCGTCGAAGCGTTGCCAGCTGTTACTGTTCCATCTTGAAAAAAAGATTTTCAAAGGATATTTCAAAGATGAGCGCAATGTCGAAAGATAAGCTTACCTTTTTGGAATACCGCTTTCAATTGTTTCAACTTGTCAAAGTTAACCTTCTGGTACTCTTCGTCATGGTCCACAACATTAGTCCCTTTCCTGGTTTTTACACTGACAGGTACGACCTCAGCTGACATTATGCCGTTCTGAAAAAGCATACCGATGTGCAAATTATATACTGCGTTAGATCAACTACCTTCCAAGCTTCAGCAGCTTTCTTGTAGCTTCCTATAGCATAATCATCTTGCGCATCTCTACCAATGCCCAATTCTTTTGCAGTTTTTTCTCCACAGTTACCCATGTGACACTTATCATAAGCATCTGTAAGTCCATCTTTCACTATTCCGTCCTAAAATGGCTGGGTGAACTTCGGACAACTAACAATCCTAATCCTTTCATCCACAATCACCGTGATTATGAGAAGATCATTGAAATGCGATCTGCGGGTTCAAACCAGCATACCGTGGTTAAACACACCCAGCATCATATAAACACTACTTCAGCTGATGTAAATAAACTTGATGACAATCAAATAAACTGACCATTAACTGTATTCCTCCATACGCAGTTTCACCACGATTCAAGTAGAAAGGAACCTGAGACATGCTCTCCATGCCACCGCCAATCACGACCTGAACAGTCTTTTCGTGAGTAACATAAGAAACTAGCTGGCTTACCCGGCTCCGCCGTATGTTCCGAATAGAAAATTCCCTTTCTGAACCGATCGGGACCAAACTTGGCACACATACACTTCGGGTCCCGGCGGGTGTCACAGTCCACTTTTCGTTATCGATCGATGTCAATTTTATCGATTTTTTGCAAAATTTGAGCTAGGGGGCTGGAATTTGGCAGGGGGGGGGGTGTAATCGAGCATGCTGATCACCCCCACGGGGATGATCAGCATGCTCGATTACCCCCCTGTGCCAACTCCCAGCCCCGTAGCTCAAATTTTGCAAAAAATCGATGAAATCGATATCGATCGATGACGAAAAGTAGCCTATGACACCCGCCGGATGGTCCCGATCGGTTCAGAAATGGAATTTTCTATTCGGAACATACGTACAGACAGACATACAGACATACAGACAGACATTCAGCTTTATATATGAGATAGATAAGCTACCTGGAACTTTGATGAACAAAGGCAAATAACATTGTAAAAGAAAGAAAACTATGTGACAGGAAAAGCGAAGCAACAGCTATATAAAAGCTAGAATTCTTCTCAAAAATGAAGTGTAAATACAACCAATACAGGGCAAAAATCTATAATCCCCTCTAATAGCTTTCGCCCTACACGCTAAACGAAGATTCTTTAGTAGTTCTTCCAAGAGTTTCTGAATGAAGACGTTCCCAGATACTCATATACAGGCCGTCTCAATGACATTGTCGCAGGTCCGGCAGCTCTGGCCCTCACGAACGCCTCGCTCGGCCTTGCGCAGCGTTCACGTACGTACACTCGGCGCATTTTCCTGCATCTGGCATCATTCAGTAGCTGCTCAACCACAGGAATTTAATCGCGCACGTCCGCGAACGCAAAGCAAACTCGAGCAGTGCGGCAAAGAGCCCAAAACGCTGGACCTGTGACACTGTCAGTGAGATACTTTGGTCTATTTTTGGATATGGTCAACGCATTTTCTAAGTATACTGAAAAACTCACATTTTGCGTGCCAGTTTGGATCTGCTGAGCACCAAGCATGATTGCCTTCAGACCAGACGAGCACACTTTGTTTACCGTAGTAACAATGGTAGAAGTTTTCAAACCTAAAAAGCAGATGCGTACAAGATCAGCAACGCCAAGGGATGAACTCTCGGTGACTTGAACCTCTTCAGACAAAAAAGATTTGTATAGCGAGCAAAAGAAAGAAAACTGACCAGCGCCAAGAGCAGCTTGCCGGGCAGGAGCTTGACCAGAGTTGGCCTGACATACTTGACCCATAAAAACCTGAAAAAATCGGATTGTACATAATGCTTACGACGGCAATTGATATGAAGTACCTCTTGGACATTCTCCGGCTGCACTCGGCCCCTTTCAACAGCAGCTTTTATGGCGATGCTTCCAAGTTCAGGTGCAGACAGGCTTGCTAGTTGAGATCGGAATGAGCCAATGGGGGTGCGAGCGGCTCCAACGATGTAAACATCCTAAAGCAGTAATTGATAAATGGAGCAGCAAAAGTATACCTCTGAAAATATAACTCTGCATGAAAATTTTCAATGATTGTCCCGAAAACCATTTTTTCCCCTGCCCTAGACGTATGTTGCCAAGCATCGATGTTAGATCCTGAAGATAAACCTTGGAACCCCCCCCCCCCCTCCCTCCCCAAATCAGGAACAATCACTTCTGTAAAAAGGGCATAGAACAGGGAAACGGTCTTTTCGCACGGACGGTCTGTAGCGTCTCCCTGATTTTGACCTGTCTTAACATGTAATGCACGCCGCAAATCTTTCCTCCCCCTGTTTTGCTCAGGCAAAAGCCGCCGCAGGGTGTGTCGCGCGCGGCGGTGGTCCTGTGTGGAAAGCATTACGGCCGTGCGAAACGTCCTACACCCCATAGAACATTATAGACAATGGTTGAGACTCGCTCTCAATACGAGCATGAGCTGACCCAGGGCAACTGTACATGTCAACACAAGAAATATCCGACTGCGCATGCCCAACAAGTTTTGACACGAATTCCCAGACCTAAACAAAGCTTGTCAGTCACGCGCAACTTCTTTACCGCCTGGCAGTTGCAGTCAAAGCGCCATCTCTGGGACATTTTATACACTTCGCCGGCTCAGCTCAACCCTTCCACTCCTCTTACATTTCATTTAGGCAGTCCAATTGAGTTCTTGACAGAATATGTGAAAAGTGAGTGAGAGGTGAGAGTGAAAGGCAGCATGTAGAGATGGTGAAAGGTGGTACCTATGAGAAGCTCACAAGGGAAAGGTCAGAAGTCGAAGTGGCTAATTCCAACAAGCTGCATACTAATGGATGTAGCATACAAGCTGATTTCAAATCTGTCTTTACAGAACGCTTTTAGATGAAGTTATATGAGCAGTTTGCAGTGAAAAAATCGTACATAAGAATTACGAACTTAAGCAAGTTATTGTGCTTTTGGCTTATCTTTGAGTATGGGCCATGAAGTAACCTAGCTGTTTTGGTCCGGCATTCAGCTGAACATGGCGCTCAGTACGGCCAAGCTTGCACTGCGCCCGATTTCTTAGCAAAATAATGGCAATGAATGGCTTATAACTTCATCCTCAGAATCGATTAGCAGATAAGGAAGACAGATTTAGAGTTAGCGCCTTATGCTGCATATAATGATATGCAGCCTGCTTGGACTGGCCACTTCATTTCCTGACCATTCTCTTATCAGTGGGTGGCATACAAAATCTTTAACATGGACCGTAGTCATTCAACGAAAGATGAGGTTGAAACTCATGCCAACAGCGATTGGAGTTCTCGTAAGTTGGCAAGCGTAAAGCTAGTCTGAGGATGACAAGCTGAGAATATGCTTCAATAGCGCTTGTTTTGACCTAAAGTTCATGGATGAGTCCGGCCGGTATAGAGTTTGCTCTCATTATATACGACGGCTCTCAATCGCACCCGTTCTTCGGCTTTTTTATACTTGTGCCCGATCAATGACGGTCGTTACCGTTTTCTAGCAAACTGGGACCAAAGAAAATAAATCTTCCTCAGACTGAACTGGTACACCAGAGACCAAAGGCCCCGACCAGATTTTTCAAAAGAGCCCAAAAGCGCTCGGATGCGCCCAAATTTCTCTAATCTCTCTTTACTTTCGTAAGAGGAGAGAGATGAGAGAAAGTGAAGAGAGGTTAGAGAAATTTGGGCGCTTTTGAGCGAAGTCTGGTCGGGGCCTGAGATGTCGAAAATCTCATCGCCAAGATGAATGATTTTCGACATTTCTAGGACCTAGGCAGTCCAGAACTAGCTAGCTCTAGGCTATGTTAGTGAGCGGTCTCGCTTCGCTACCCAACGCAGTGAGACTCTGTGCAAACACTTTCATCAACTTTATAGCAACAAATCGCACCACGAAGGGGTGCCCAAAAGATGCGATCGTAGTTGCTCGTGGAGACCATTTTCTGATGCGGCATGCTAAGGCTGCGTTCATACTGAACCGATCTGCGGGAACAGTATGAACGCAGCCTAAGCGCAAGAAGAGAGACCGGCTATTTCGAAAGATGGAGAAGATAGTGTTCTCTTCGACTACCCCAAGTATTGGGCGCTTCATACACCACTTGCTCTAGATACATTAGGTTTTAGAAAAACTTGAATGCGCCTTCAGGTCCCCTTTGTATGTTCCTACTTTGGGTGAGAAACAAACCTCAGAGAAAGCAAAAGTAAATCACAGAGTGTTTGCTTAAAGGAGAAAACAAATAGCGAACAAACCTTGTTCCTAGCAGCAGCCGAAAGACTTAGCTTCCGCGAAATCATGTTTGTTCTGCCCAGCATTTTACCTAAATAAGTAAAATCAAATTTACTTCCTTTGAGAGCGATCTAGTCGACTACATTGCAATCAGTATACCATAAATTAGATGCTTCAATGATTACGACCAAAAACAGCTCACAAGCAGTTGCAATTTTAATCAATCACAAAGAAATCAATCACAAAGAAATGAAGTGCAAAAGCCAAGACAAAAATACAACTTCGATGGCGAATGTTTCAACGTGTTGCGAGAGGGTGACCGTATACGAAAACGCCCGAGTGCACAAGTGTAGTTACACCCGAGACACAAGCTGACTAGCTACCGTATGCATAAACATTGGAAAATGCTCTTCCAATAGTTTCGGTCAGGAACAGCTCAGGGGGTAGAATTCCTAGTCAGTCACAAGGATGAAATAAGAGCAAAAGAGCAGAAGAAACGAAAAGTACAACGACCCGAGAGTGTGACCTCGGTCTATCGCATAAATCACGCGCGAGTGCATGTTAGAGTGCAGCTGCACGCGAGACACCAGCTAGTGGACTACCGTTGGACAAATGTGAAATTTTTACTACCCTAATTTCACGCGTACAAGGCGCGGGGGATTTTTTTTCCAAAATCGACCAGCCCAAATACGCCAAAGAACTTCGCAACCAAAGGACCCTATGCCTTGCTGTATATTGTGGATTCTCCGGAACAGGGATTTTCGGGGTTTTCGAGCATTCTCGACTTCATATTCGGAATCAGGGACATGAGAAGGCCCTGAGACGACAAAAACGTGGAAGTCGAAAATCTGGGTGGACGGTGCCTTTAACCATTCTGTGATAACTAACCGTATTTGATTCCAGGTCTTATCAGCTATTATCTTTTTCCTCAAGAAAAAAGTGATTGTTCAAGACACTTGCCAGATATGGTCATCCTTGTTTTGAATAGGTAGCAAAAGCTCTTTATAAGAAGGTGTGAGATCCCGTTGAGACCGGCCATACTATTCCTGTGAATCCTGCAATTCCTGCGAATTCGTGTGATTGCTGCGGGTCCCTAACAATGTATATTGCGAAAATACAATGTATACTGAAATTCGCAAAGCGCTCCGTAATGCGGCACATCGGAAGTCGAGAAATCACAAGAACTGCAGGAATTACAGGAGTCGCAGGAATCACCTCCTGGAATAGTATGGCCGGTCCCGTTATGTGCTGCATAAGCTAGAGCACTGGCGCCCGAGGAACCTCTTTCGAGGGGGGGGGGGCAGAGATTTTTTTTTGATTAAAAGGTGGTCGTAGCCACGGATTCGTGCTTCCCAAATTCTTATCGCCAAAACCTCAAACTCCACTGAAGATCTTGTTTAACAAAGCTAACTTGGATTTTTAAGAATTTTCAAAATTAATTTAACTATTTACAGGAAACAACATGTCGTTGAAGAATTCATAACACTTGGAGATGTGCTGCCAGTGTTTTGAGATGTCTTTTAATATCTTTTGATGAATATACTCATTATCTCATGTAAAATGTATCGTGAAACGGAGCTACGGAATATTGTTTTGAATGTGAATATTGTGAATATTTGGGAAAAAAACTACGTAATTGAGACACGCAATTCGGCAGACCTCAAACTTATCACAAAGGCGAGCTCTTTGATGTAATATTTTGCCCAAAAAATTAGGTTAGAAATTATCAAGCTGTAAAAGAGCTTGCGCGAAAGTATTTTGATTTGAAGATATCTTTCGGTCCCTTCCCTGCTCTATAAAACAAAGGAAGAATTGTATTACCCCCAAAGAACGATCAACAAAGATTTTCGGGCAGAAATCAAATTACAGTTTGATCTGATCACAAAGCCTTTATTTGATTATAATTCTCTCGAAAGTTCGTGCGTTTTTGAGGCATATCCTAAAAACGTCCAAAATAAAGATAGATAAGCGCTACTAACAGTGTTCCATGCATATTTTCCTCCTATTTCTAGCAGTGGTTCTTTTTGTTCCAAAATCTTTGATGGTCGCCTAATTGTTAGAAGCTCCAACCCATTTTTATCTGCCCTTATTTAAGTTATTTAAAAGAAAAATATTCCTGACTTTTGGAATATCCTTGATCACTGGTTGGATAGAATAGACAAAATGCAATACACTGAGTTTTCTGCGCTTCCTCGACTGGCTTACAAGTCTTTTCAAAGAAATTGTACTCAAATGTCCTTTCTGCGAAGTCGTAAAATACCACAACGCTTCAAACACTAATAAGTCATCGGAATTTGAAAATTCCGAATTCGATTATGATTCAATACCAATTTCATAAAGCAAACGAATATTTACATCTTAGAATTACTGAGTTTCGAATTTTCTGGGAACAGCCTGGGGGTGCGGTTGAAAATTGGAATTATGGTATTTTACCCTCGAAACTCTCAAATTTTTCAGAGAGAGAAGAACAGTTTGCATCGAATGACACCTTCGTCGCTCGCTGTTTGATGTTCTACTAGGTTTGAGATGGGCAAATACGGAACGTTAGCATAGAATAAATCATTTTAAACATTTTGAAAATTCAGTAATGAATGCCAAAAAATGCGTCGTATTGCATTTTGTTTACTCTTTCCAACAATGATCTTCTAAAAGTTAGAAATGCAAATTTTGGAAACAGCTCAAACAAATGTAAGTAGAAATCATGGGTAGTAGATTCTGACGACTATTCGAGCAATCAAAATTTGGTAACTACATAATATCACTGCTAAAAGAGGAAGATCCGCTGGAATGTTTGCAGTTGTCTTTCATTATGTTGAACGGTTTAGGGTATCTATTTCTCAAGAACTGCAGAACTTTCGGACCGGACTGACATAAGTAATTTGCAATGCGTCGACGATAAAAATTGACCAGTTTCAGGTTGTTTATGGCAGCGATATTCGGGACAAATAGCGGTCAAACGTATGAAAGTTTCCTTTAACAAAATGTTTGGTTGTAAAGTGAAACATCCACTAAAATATGCAAACTCAAACAAATGTACTCTAGAGAGTGTTCTCTTACTTGAGAAAAAATCGCAAAAACGTATCACCTATCTCATTGAAAACCCTAGAAAAATTCCAGGATTTTTTTCCAAAAATATTTGAGAATTGAATTCACTAACTTTTCATATTATCTTTGATTTTTGTCTCTGCGAAATCCAGAAAAACGTTACAAAGCAAAGCACACTAGCGGGGAATCTAAGGGTTTTTCGATCTCTCTAAATAAATTTTCTATGATGATTTTTTGTGGAGAATTTTCACTTTTGATGATTTTCGGGCAAGGGGAGAACTTTTCAGCAATTGAAAAATCACGACTTTGATCTTGGGAAAATATCTTGACAGTTTGGGCAGTCAGCTTCAAGAAAACTCTAAAGGAATTGGAAACTAGGATTCTAAGCATAGCTTCTGCTTTCACTAACATCTTTGATAAAACTTCAATGTTTTCGAATATATAAAGTCATAAAGGTGATAAAACAGAAAAAAATTAGTGATTCGCGAGATGAGACAATTCTACAGTCAGTGGAGGTCCAAAAAAATTTTCTTTCTGAAGGGGAGGGAAGGCCGGGGCGGCAGCATGGTTCCTCAAAAGGAGGGGCGTTATCCACGTCGAAATTTTCCACAATATTGTTTTCTTAAATTACCTTGAGTGCCAGTAGCGACCTATCCTTGCCCTCCCCCCACGGCCCTTGCAAAAGAAAAATAAATTGAAAAGTAGGAAAAAATTAGCGAATGACGGAGTTTCTTTGTAATCTTTTCCTCTATAACTGTGCAACTTCATGACCACGGCTCGGCACGAGGTGACTTATAAGCAAGCTGGATATCGTTTTTGGGACGAAAAGCAAAGGGGGTTTCGTTTTTGTGACCGAAGAGACACGGAAAATTGGCGACGGCGACCTTTTTTTTTAGTCGACGTTTCGTTTTTTGGGGGATTTTGGGGAATTTTTCAGGTTTTTAGAGGTAATTTGGTTGAGGGTCAAAGGGGACTTCGTAAAATTCCCAAAAGTCAAGGGGGACTTCGTTTTTTCCATTTTCATCTAGCCACCTCGTGCCGAGCCCTGTTCATGACTGTGTTAGCAAATTTGACCCCATTGCCTAGCTTTACCGGATTTTGGATACTGTCTAGACTTTAGCTGAATGGGTATTTCCTGAAAAAGCCGGCTCATGATCGAAGGGCAAAACACGAAATGTTTCATAAATCTTTCCATCGATGGTATCTTTTTAAATGTTGCGTCATCGAACTATGGCTGGACATTCGGCGACAGCATATCGTCTCGAATTTCAACAAACACGTAGTGATTGGGACGAATCACAGTCTCCCGTTCTTCAGAGATTGTCGCGTCACACTAAACCGGTCCTAATTTTCTGTGCGTCCACCTCACATGTGGTGTGTACTGTTTGCTCCCTTTGCTGTGCTCCGTCAGCAAAATGCTCCAATGCTGTCCAAGTTTGGAAAACATTTTATGTGCATACAAAATGAGTAGCTTCCATTCCAGTCCGTCGAGGTGGGAACTAATTTCCCCGGCCTAATCAAATGTTCGCCCCCTTTCGCTATCCCATTCAAAGCTTCTATCCCGACGATCGATCCATCATATGACTTTTGTTTATTTGAGAGGCTGAATGGATTAGGGGGTGAATGTTTGATTACATCGGCTAGCACCCCATTTGCACTGTTTATTGCACTAATGCACGCTCGCAAGTGCGTCATGCTGGTATTGATCGTAAAAATTTTCACAAATGACAAATTTCCTCGTCTCCTCAGTTACAACAAGATGTGTGCGAATGAGGGCAGTGCATTGATCGAACCGCTGTGCGTGCACATGAGTTCTTTTTACCCATTGCGGTTCGAGTTTTTAGCTCTTTTTCAGTTTGTACGATATGTATTAAAATACTGCAAAGAAGTGACCGAGTGGCAGTAATTCGGAAAACTATAAACACTCTGAGGCGTAATTTCAGCAGCATTGTGTGCATGCGAGCGAGAACTTAACGATTCTATCACTTTAGCACATCAAACCCCGCTTAATTTTTTTTATTTTCATTTATGCAAGATAATCTGTGCCACACCTCGATGAAGAAATGCTGAGCTTCACAAACTCTATTTATTGGATAGTGGACATAAAATCCGCGCGGTTTATAGTCCATTAAATTTTGACGGTTCTGCGGCGCTGACAATATGTGCGCGTAAAAATGACCGTATTCATGAGCGTATTCATGATGTTGCGCCTATGGCCATTCTTTACGAGCAAGTGTTTTCGACTACAGAAAGACATTGTATCAGTTTCCAGATGCGCTAGGATAACAATTTTCTTGAGAGCCGCGATCTCTCTGAATTCCAAAAGTCACAAAACTGCTATACTGCCAAACTAACAATGAGCGTTTTTGTCTTGCGAAGTACATATCTAGAATGATTTGCGAAAACAACGCGAAATTTTGTGGGTTTCCTCCAAGAATTTAAAATCAAACTTTTGAATTTCGTTATTGGATGCCGTTTTGTAGGATGGAATCGAATAATCGACCGTGACCCCATTTATTTAGAACCGTGGTTCTACGTGGAAAAATGTCCATAACTTTTTTGAAGTTCGTTTCAGCGTACAAAATTATGCGTAATTACATATTATATTATTACACAACCTTTGCATTAGTTAGTATCATTCGTTTCGAAGCAAAGAGACTCGAAACCGCTTTGCACACATTGTCAAAACAAGGTTGATCGTGTTTTTGACAAGTTTGTATGTACTCGTGATTCATTAAAACTAGGAATATTTGTTACTTGATAACAAGATAGAACAACTTCAAGATTATTTAGACAATGTGTGCAAAGCGGTTTCTTGTCTCTCAGTATGGAATCTCCCTTCCATTCTTTGAATCAAAGCGCGAACTTGTTTACCCTTTTATTTCCACCGAACTGAAGTACCTAATGCATAGTTAATCCAAGTAGGTTCGACAAGTATTTTTTCCTATTAGAAATAGGATCACGTTCCGGGAGGACAAACTTTTTGCGTATCGCAATCGTATGCGACAAGTTTCTTGTAGCCAAAATTTCTTTGTCGAATCAGCCCCGTTCCATTACATGAGTCACGTTTCACTTATCGAAACCAGAAGCAACTTTCCTCAGCTGCCTCGTTCGCGCCAATTGACTTGCTTCATCGAGAAGGTTTGTTTTAGATACCAAACTTATTCTGTAATGCCTAGCTGGTCGTTCAGCAATGTCAAGACCAGAGCAACGTAGAAGAGTGGGTATAATAAGCCGTTCTCGTCAACGACAAACACAACGTAATCCTGCACTTCTGAATTGGCTGTGGCATACAGGCACGCGAAATGCCCTAATCATATGGCTTGATAGAATTTGATGTGTATGGAGGTGATTGCACATCACACCCAGATCGAAAAACAGCAACTGTTGAATTCCGAGCTAGAGTTACCGACAACTGTCACTAATAATCTGGGCTTGATGTACATTTCATCTTATAGTACATGCAGTGCCTCACTTGTCGAATTTCTGTTTCACACCCTAATGTCTGATCTCTCCCACAAAACTTAACAACAACTATAGATCTTTGTGGCCAAAATGTATAGCTGGATCATGGACGCAGGCAATGTACAAGGTGCGTTTGCTGCCGCGTTGCGGCTGCGTGCGATATTCCATTTTACGTACAAAAAATGCGCAAGCAACTATCGTGCATCCCCTCGTTAGTCAAAGCTCTGTCTATGATTGATTTAAGAACCTAGTCCATTTTTGGTTGTTGCGAAGGGCGCTTTGTGAAGACAGGTTTTCGATACTATCTCAGTTACGAAGCGATGAGATCGGGCTTTGACTGAAGTTCATACATCGCGCTCGCTTTTGCGACATTCGTGGACGCAGGCTATAGGCGGTAGTCTCAGCTGATCTTTTATACAATAGGAAGACCGGCTTGTCAGGCTGTTGATGCAAGCACACCGCTGTAAGAGGCTTAAAGGCACCGTCACCCAAATTCTAGACTTCCATGTTCTTGCCGTTCCGATGCCTTATCATATCCCTAACTTAAAGGGGAGGAGCAACGTGGCGAATCCGTCATCTGAGCGATTAACGAAGCAATTTTCTTGCTTCGGAGCGAGTTGGGCACACATACATTTGTGGGTCCCACTACTATAAGCCATCAGAATTCATCGACCCCGTTTTGGATGGACGGTGCCTTCAAGACCACGGGAATATTTTGTAGCGTAAGGCAGCCGCTGTACTTCTCTAGGAGTATAGCATGACGACGATCGATACGCATCAAATAGTGTAAAATCGGCGATTTTTGTCGCCGATATTGGCGATCGCCAATCGCTACGACTGATGATCCCCGTCGCCGATATTGAGCAACTGGCGATCGCCAATCGCTAATATTGGCGACTGTACTTTACATACCTATTGATCGCAAACAAGTTACCACACGTCAAATCGATACATATTAAACGTGTGGTCGCCGAAAACTGGCGATCGCCAATCGCTACGACTGGCGATAGCCCAACGCCATACTGTACTCCTCGAGGAGTATAGGGGCTGCCTGCCTGATCATAGAATCTGTCTAGAAAGTTGAACATGGGATGGTTTGCATTGTACCGCTGCGGTGCCGACAACATTTGCGCGTAATTGAACTCTTGCAGTGCGACAGCAACCATGGTTTCTTGGCCACGAGTGCACAAATTTAGCGGTTTTCATTTTTAAGTGCAAATGTTGTAGACACTACTGCGGGACCGTAATATCCATCAAATCGAAATGTTTTGAATACCTCAAAGAACTGCATAGAAAGAAGCAGATCTTTGAAAAATCAGCCGTGAAGACTTTGACTTTTGCTTGCTGGTAGCGAACACTTTGGTTTTCGAGATTCCAGGTTCACCCACTAAGCTGATAACGTTCCACAGAAAACACTGGTTCATGTGTTTGGAAAGTCATTCTTATCTGCTACGTACACAGCAAACTGTTGAACTACTCCCAGCTTACGTACTATATGTCTTTGCTGACACTCAGACACGATAAACTTCATTTTTACCTCGCCCCCAAAATTTACAACCGCACTTACTCTGTGCAAATGCACAACTGCTGGACACATTCGACTTTACGGTCAGCGCGTGAACGGTGTCCATCGTGGACGACTAGGAATAAAATTCGATTGATTTTCTTTTTCCTTTGCAACATTCAGCAAAGGCGAAAACATCCTTCCACTAAACAATCTGTCGTGTTGTGCTTTGTGAAATGATAGTGAGTGATTATCTCCGATTCTCCGATATGTTTCGTGCTTTCCACATGTTTTTCAACTAATCATAGGAAGTGACTGTTAGTTTTTTGGTGCGTTCGTAGCTGCCAAGATTAAAACTGCCTTGCCGTAAATACCAGTGAATATTGATGCTGCGTCAAACATTTTGAGCGATGTAAAGCCTTTCATGAACGTACTTTACAAATTGATGGCTTGGTTTTTCCCAAATTTTTTGATAGCCCCTTGCTATGAAACTTATTATTCAACCACCATTTTATTGTTAACATGTGCAAATTTGCTGAGATCGATCTCTTTTGTGTTTGAATGGTGCTAATTTACAACATTTCGAGCACGTTGTGTTAGTGCATGCAATTGTGTTTTTCCTATCAGGTGTCTGTCCGAACCATTACACACTGCTAAACTATCTTCCTCACGTATCTAAGCTGCGAACGTACATCTCAGTAATAATCCATTCCAGGAAAAATGACTGCGGCTGTATTAGCGCCGCAAAGTCCACCACCATTATTCCCAGAGACTATAGATTTTACTGAAGCAATAAAGGTACGTGTCATCAAGTGTTCAAACCATGACATTACTTTTTCTCTCATTGTTTTGCGATAATTTGTAGGATTCTCCAAGGTTTCGAGCGTCCTTAGCGCAGCACACGCAATACTTCAGTCGATTGGAGAGCAGATTGAATGAGGTGAATCCAAGTGAGTTCGAAAGCTATGGCAAACATCAGTCTTTTAGATGCAAAGACATGTAGCCAGTATGATGGAATTCAGCAGGAACTACGTATCGACTTTTTAGTGAGTCTCCTATTTTTTCATTTTTTTTGCAGTAGATTTGGACTTGCCTTTACTATTTTATTGGACTATGCCGCGTGCATCCATCTTGATCTCCCTACTGCAATGTGCGGTTTCTCTTTTCCATTTGTAGTGGCGGGTAGAGGGCGGAGCTCCGCTTACTAATAAGCCTCAAAAATGACTAGAGAGTACGTTCACGGGAGAGGTGCAGAGCCCGGTGCCCCACCAATCACCTGTCACCCTCAATGATACCCAGGGGTATATGTCTTGATTTATATTTTACAGCGCAGAAAATGCAGTAGCACTTTTGCTGCAGCTTATGCAGTCTTTTGTAGTAAAAAAAGCTGCCTAGACGATAAAATTGCACTTGCATTATCTCTGGGATGACTCATTCATAAAAAGAGCGGTTATAAATACACGCACTCCTACGATATGTTTTGAAAAGCGGGATAGTAATTTGAGAAACGAAAACCTCTTACAAGAGAACAGATGCACACATGCGCGCGCATGACAGCATTGCTTCCATCGGGGTCACTTTGAGTGTTCTGAAAAGATCGAAAGGTTATTTTGCACATGTTATCACTAGTACCTTTATTTTAGTGAAACCTTCATATTGAACTGAGAGCGCTTGTGAGATGAGCATCTTTGCCTTCCTCCAAAGCAGAGGTGTGTTGATCTACAGATGGTCTGAACAGCAGAGTTAGGAAGAAATGTATCTTCTTATTAACATTTGGCGAACTGGTCGAAACGAATTAGAACACAACTTCTTGGAGTTAGTTGTGAAAAGACTAACGGTAATTTGGGGTCAGTAATGTGGTTTAGATTGGAAATATACTGATTGTTGGTGGAATCAAAATTCTTACTTAGTGAGGCGCTTACTCAAAGCGAGTTGAGAAAGCGTTAGCTATTAAATGCACTCAATATGAAAAGAGCAACATGAAGCTAAACACAGAGAATGAGGTTCTAAGAAAAAGAGACAACGAAATAGTAGACATCTTGTAGAACAGCGAAGTTAGAGACAGTGCTTCGGACATTTTTTTTCCAGTTTTTCCCTTTTTCAAGTCTTCTCACCCTGAGAAATCGGGTGTATGTCAAGAGGCGCGATTTTTATTGCCAGCTGGATACCGAGTAGCACCATAATAAATGTTTTATAACATTCTAGAAGTAATCAAACTCAGAAGGAGATATATCAGGTAATTGCATGAGTTGCTCAATCTTGCTAACTTCGAATCAATTCAAAACAGCAATTTGGAAGGTCAAAAACTCATGAAAATGCGTTTCAGAACTCAAAGAGAAAGAGTTTTGTAAGTATTTCAGTACGATTTGTAGCAAAAACCATGGAACTCAGCAAGTGGTGACTTCAGACAGATAGTAAGCTAATGCACTTTATCCAATAATTTTTAAAGACTCGCATAGCACTAAACTGGAGTTTCAAGTTGGTGACAGCCGGAGAAATCGCGCTCTTTGACCATCTCCCTGAGAAACCCACATTTGGGCTTTTCATGGATGAAAATGGCGAAAATGAGCTTTTTCCGAACCTTCTCTGGTCCGCATTCAATGAAGCTACACCGAAGCGCCCCACCTGAATGCGGACCTGAATAGCTTCGGAAAAAGCTTATTCTCGCCATTTTTATGCGCTGAAAAGGCCAGATATGGAATCTTCATGGCGACAAGGCTCCGAAGAAATGAAAAACTGGAAAACGAAAATCTGCCGAGACAGTGCCTCACCGTCTGGTCTGCACGCGTTAAAGTCATCTGCAGAGCTAGAATCGCTTCAAAAATCGCGGCCTGGTCGCAAAACTCATTTGGGCAGCCCTTTACACAGTCTTAATGTACTAGGTTTTCCCTAGACGCGACTACATGCAAATTCAATACAGTTAAGGTTAAGGAGCGATAAAAGGTTAGCCAGCAGTATTGGGGGAGAATGAATATTTGGTTAACGCGGAACGCATCAGGTGAATCGCTCTCATTATTTCACGAGACACCCACATGTAGGACATATGGAGGTGTACTTGTACCAGGGCAGCAGAGCGTAGTAGCTGCACTCAGTACATGCGCACGTTTGCTTCCGATTGAGTAAACTTTTTTGCTGTCTTTCGTACGCCCACGATCTGTTTAGCGAGGTCGGAGAACTATACACATGTTTTAGTAAGCTGACCGTATCCATCAATCAGCTGTGTGAAGAGAACTTCACAGGAAATTTGATTGCACAAGATACAATTCACACTCTTTCGGATGCTTGTGGACGCACAGTGTGTCTCATGAAGGACTTTCACGAACAGTCATGCACGGCTTTGTATAGCCAGTTGACATCTTTTCTTAAAAAGTGGGTCTTGCTTGGTTTTTTCCGTGGTGGTGGATGAAGAGGATTTTTGGTGAAAGTCCGCTTTTTTCAGTGATCTTGTGAAGGTTTACGAAGCTCGCTCCCACTTCGACTCCATGTCGACGAGCATGGATGAGGCATTATCCAGAAATGCATCATGCACTAGAGCACGTCCATCGGATGCTGTAGATGGCCGCAATGCTCTTACGGCCGTATGTTTCTGATATAACTTCATAGATGGCAGACAGTGTAAACACTCGTTTAGGTGGGAGCTTGTTTCGCTCATACAACTCTCGACTATGTGGCACAAATCAATATTGCACACGCACAAAAAGATCACGTAATAATTGACGCGGTACGTTACACAGCTGCTTTGCTTTGAAACTATGAAGTTATCCCAGTTTTGTTTCAATTTTCTGCTTTACTCGTGATAATCGTCAAATTATGTGTTGTTGTGATTGTGTTTGGAATTCGTTTCTTCTAATACCAATGCTTGTTAAAAAGGTACGGTAAGGGTTGAGATACACTAATCTATAAATTCTGATTTTTAATGCATACGAATTTTCCGTCTTGTGCGACATCCAATAGTTGCTCAAAATTTGTCCAAATGTTTCACGCTATTGTTTACTGAGTAATCGCCATTCTGATGTTGCGTGCATGCTGCATCTTTGCTGTTCCCACTCACTAAACTGCAGATTCTTTTCCTGACGCTTTGCATATACAAGACGTAAGGCAAATCTGCAGTCACGCATGTCCTATCTAAGCTCATAAAAACTAGTTCTGTGAAATTTCAATTTATATATCTTGGGTTATTATGTTTTGGGTTATCTTGTAGTTCAGACGGACTCAATTCTAATATAACGCTCACTTCGTTGTGAACGTCTACACACTTATCTGCCATGTGTAGTTTTTGTACGGACGCAAGTAGAGGTATTGAGCGCTTCGTTATGAAGTTTAACCTATAGCGTATTTCTGAATTTTTGCCAAGTAAGAAAAATTGTGTGCGTGAGGTTACAGTGAGATAGATTTGTGGATGGAGTGTTTGACTTTCCCTAACAGATGCTCTTCTCATGAAGCGTGTACGTCATAATGACATTGCCCTTCATGTGAAAAGAAACAACAGATATAAGGAATATCGATCTCCTTGTATGAGAACTTCTGTCAAGTGTACGCTTTCCAGCTATGGTCGTTTATTCGCGAAACATCATCTTTTTTCTCACGTGGACATGCCATATTCGATGACTGGACTGCTGCTGACAACGGCGCCGTATCAGATTCGATTGCTGCCTTAGCAGCTAAAAGTAGATTGGTTCAGCGGAAGATGCAGGATATACATTCGCTAGTGCCAAGGGTTAGTTTATAATTTTGGTTGAAGTTCCGTACTGGAAACATTCACTAATGGGTTGTGCAAGAATCTATGTACCTTAGAACGCGAAAGATTGCGTTTTTCATTTTCAAGGGTTCCAAGAAGTCGCGTGAGGTTTGATAAGGTTGTCAAATCGACGGATTCGCATTCCTTTAGACAAAGCACTCTACGGCAACCAAAATTCTTACATAATTATCCTCATTGTCGTTATGCATGATTCCATGGTGCATCATGCCGCAGCGACATTATGTTTGTGAGTGTCAAATTACACTTTTTCTCCTGGAATGGCGAAATGTCTCACCCATTGGGTATCGGTCTCACCTCAGCTGCCCCTACGTACGCTCTCTTATGCAAGTTGTTTGACTCCTTGTTCGATCAACTGCGCCTGGTTCTCGCAGTGTCAAGAAGTTTGCAATCCCAAGATTGCATTGTTTGTTCGGAAGGTTATCGACTGAGTCATCATCGAGGCTTAGTTCATCGAATGCTGCGATTGCGGTTTACGAGCGATGGCCGCGTATTGATCGCTAGCAACTCATTACACATGATAATCCATGTCACTTCCGACTTCTGACTCCAGAGTTGCACACTTTTTTCGTGTTCATTCCTCACATGGATCGAAAACACACTGTCGCCTTGCTGAACAAGCTTCATCTCACTGCACATTCTACTTTTTACTCTTTCGAAGAGATTCCCGACACTCCTCCAGCAATTACAGCATACAGACGGGTGCCGTTCTCATTGAGTCCAGAGACATCTTCTTCGAAGAAGCACTCAGCAAGCTCGGTGAAAAGTACAAAGTCTCTATCAGGAGGCTTTAGCTACCTTGCTGGCGATGCGCCTACTAGTCACCACGATGTGGCCGTGCGCCCGTCAGCTAGCTTGTCAAGGTCAAGCTCTCATAAGGAGCTTGAATCTGATGGTCACAAAAAGAACGCTAAATTGAAACGTCGTCCTGGGTTCAAGCGGGTCATCCCAAAACGGAAGACTGCGCAGTTTTATACAGTCGTAGATGATAATTCTGTGCATCTTCCTCAGACAGTAAGTCTAATTTACAGCTTCATTCTCATATCGTTGACATCTGCATTTCAATGTTTACAAATATGCTTGTATTCAGGAGATGTTCCAACATTTCTCTGGGATGCCGCCTGATCCGGATGTCATGATGGAAGGCTATCTATATAAGAGATCGTCTAATGCCTTCAAAACTTGGAACAGACGATGGTTTCAGATTAAGGACAATAAGCTGGTATGTAAAGCAAGGAGATTGCGCACATTATCAGTGTTTACGCAAACGGAGCTTTTTTAGCTGTATTCGCATCGTTCTGCTGATTCCGAACAACCAACTGTGATGGAAGAAAATCTCATGCTTTGTTTGGTTCGTCCCGCACCATCATCTGTCGATCGAGTTGGATGCTTTGAACTAGTCACTCCCACAAGGTATTAGCTTTTTTGCTCTAGTCTTTTTTGCACATTTTTTCCTCAGTGCATGTTGAGCTTTGCATCAGTATCTCACTGGAAAAGAAGACAGATGCGTAATTTTTGCGTTCTTGCATTTTTTCATATCGTTCATTTCTTGAAGAACAAATTTTTTTTTGAATTCCTGCACTTTTTTCATGACGGTCGTCGTTTTGAAGGCAATTATTTTTCTGATCAGTCATTTGAGGCACATTTGACCACCTGCTTCTCTTTTCTTTTTCATTCAAAGTGAATAAGTGGTGTTAAATTACTACAGTTTCGCTCTGCAAAATGACGTGCGTTTTATTTAGAAGTCACCTTCTTCAAGCTGATTCCGAAGCATTATGCAATGACTGGATGCGAGCACTACAACGAACAATTTTGGCTTTGCATGAGAGCGACGAAGTGGTATGTGGATCTTTACCTGCGCTACTTTTCCGTATTCTTTTTTCATAGGAAAATCATCCCACTTCTTCCACGAAATCGGAGAGTGGAAAAATGTCGAATGATACACCTAAGAATTCGGTCAAAGTAGGAACTTCTTCTGTCCCTGATGCTGCGACCACTTTCGAGCAGATTCGGCGAGTGCCTGGTAACGAAAGATGTGCTGATTGTGGTTCTGAACAACCCAAATGGGTCAGCATAAATCTTGGGGTAAGTTCATATCCATATTTGTCACTTCTTTTGGTTATGCAAAGTCTTTTGTTTTTTTCTATCGTATTTTTTCGCTACTTGACACTTGCTTTTGAATGAGCGAAGCTATTTCTTTTTGTTTCAGGTAGTGTTGTGCATTGAGTGTTCCGGCGTGCATCGTAGCTTAGGTGTACAAACTTCTAAAGTTCGCTCCTTAACTATGGATTCCATAGATCCCGAGTTGCGTGATGTGCTTTTGAGCTTAGGAAACTCACAGGTAACTCATCCCTCTAGCAGCCCTTCCATTCAATACTCTCCATTTTTACAGGTCAATGCCATCTACCTCGCTCACCTCCCTGACAAAGATATTGTTCCTCAGCCCGCTGTTGACAACTCCAATCGTCAGGTGTGTGTTTTACAATAATTTTTCATCGCTATGAGTTTTTAGTCATAGAGTTGTATTTCGCTCCTAGTTACACATCCTCGCCTCCTCATCTCATCACTCACATTTTTTATGGCTTATGTCTGCTGTGTGCAACGCTTTGATTTATTGTTATCTGCACGCAAATCGTTTTGCACGGCCTCCCATTCTTATCGTAATAAAATTTTTTTGTGGCGCAGTTGGGATTTTTGTTAGTATACAAGCAAATTTTCATCAGGAGGTCAGTTTGTGTCTTAAACTTGCTTTATGTGTGTCTGTATGTCATGTCGAAAGAAAGTAGTTTATTGTAAATTGAGAAAGTGTTCTCGATGATATGCCTTCTTATTCACGTTCATGAAGTAGAGTTCGGTTATTATCTTCTTGACGCTCTAATAGCAGAGGAAATCAGCATACGCTGCCAGTCATTTGGTGACAACCTTAAATAATTTAACCTTGGTGATAGTGAATGGCACTATGCATGATTTCAGCCACTGAGTTTATAGATGATTGCAATGTTTTGAGGTTCGCGAGGCATGGATAAAAGCCAAATATGTGGAGCGGCGATTTGCCATCTCATCCTGCGAGCGTGCTCGAAATAGTGCGGCTGCTAGAATGGAGCATCTTCGGAACAAAAGCAGCCCATGTGGAGCTGGTACTTCAGGCAAGTATTTTTGTTGCGACAGGTTTTCATTACCTTTTACATAATTTTTTTCATCGTCGCCTTGGTCCCGCTTATGCAGGGTCTACTTTTCTTTCAGATGTCTCCATGATTTCATATCTGAGGCAAGGCCTTCAACTTTTCCAAGTTCTTGTAGGTCGGCATCATGCTGTCCGTTCACCAGATTTTGGGTCTTCTCCTAGGTCTTTTACCTGAACCCTCATTGTTAAGGCCAACTTCCTGATGTGGCTTTTCCCTATGCGCACCTGCCGATACCACCGTAATCTCTCCCTCTGATTCCGTGGACAATTCGAGCTACTTGCATTTGGGCTCGTATAGTGTCATGGCACATGTGGTTTTTCGGGGTGGCACCCAAGCTCCATTGAAGCATTCTTGCTTTATGATGCTGAGTTTGCGTTCTCGTTTTCTACGCGGCCAAAGCTTACATGCAGTGTGCTGGGCGGATAACGTCCAGTAGGGTTGGTACTTGAGCTGCTGGGCATTCTTTTTTCGCACAGAACTGTTTAGGCTCTTTATTTTATCCACGCTATGTTCATTCACCTGTGATCTCTTTTTACAAACCTCCTTCCGCTGGGATGTGACTGCCTAGGTACTTGTACGAGGTTGTTATTTCCAACTCTTCATCATCGATGCTTACAACAAGTGGGGTTTGTTTCCCCACTTCATTATATTCTGTCTTCTTGGTGTTAATCTTCAAGCCATACAACTCTAGCCTGTTCTCCAGTTTTGTACAACTTCTTTCCAGTACTTGCTAACAAGACCACATCTTGCTTAGAGAAGTGTCCAGGGAGGTTCACGTTTGAGTGGTTCCATCACGGCTTCACTGCAATGATGCAGTGATAAGGAGCAGGAGAGAGAACTGAAATTTGGTGTACTGATTGATTTGGAATTCTTTCGATTGCCCTGCGGCTGTTTGTACGTGACTTGCAGCGCTGTTTTAGATCAATTGTAGTGATCGTACTTTTCTGGCATCTGTCCCTCAAGGCCCACCGTATGACTTCATGGGTACTTCATCGGAGGCTTTCTCGGTCCACGAAGGCTGCATGCAGTTTCTTCGCTTTTCTCTGTATTTCTTCATCACTGCCTCAGCGGATTGGATGTGTGGGTCGTATCTACTCCTTTCACATCCGCGCTAATTCGGTGACATCATGATATTCTCGAAACCGCTTTTCGATTGTCCGATCGAAATTTTTTTAGACTATGACCATTTAGTCGGATTGATGGATAGAATGCAGTCTGCTATGTCTGCTATCTTCTCGGAAGCGTTGTGCTAGTATATCATTCTCGGGGCACATTCTTGCTTCTTATGGTTTGATTGAAGAGGCTTGTAAGCCATGAGGTTTCGGCTGTCCACATGCCTCCCAGAATTCGCTTGGTATGGTCTGGGCCACGCTGCCATTCTTTGTTTTCCTAAGCTAGCCATCCTCTTCCACGTATGTTCGTACTGATCCTTGTATGGACTCAGCTTTTGGGATGGAGGACAATGCGATTAGTAATGACCATCTTTTCGAAGTAGGTTCCCCATCTACCAGTGATGTTCTTTTTCTTAGCGTCCTACCAAGTTTGTCTTTGATGTGGATGAATTGCTGCATGTCATTTGTAGACTCCACTCTTTTTCGTGCTATCCGATATATCTCACATTCTTCCTAGGAAGACTCCAATTTCTCGTAGAACCATGCTTCTTTATGCAAGCCTTCGCAGCGTTTTAGGCTTGTCGCTATGTCTAACAATCTACTCCGATCTTGTATTATCTTTGATAGCCTTGCTATTGCAGCAAATTCTTTACCCTGTCATTTATTAATGGCCTCCATTCGAATTTATTAGTAGTATCTCGCCTTTTTTGATATTTTTTGTCGTGCTGGATGTAAAACTGCAGAAGGAAATAGCTGATGTACTCACAGCTTTGTGTCCTTCACATCTGCCTTGCTTAGTGTGCTGCAAAATTGCCGTACCTCTCCGATTTCATTGGATTCTTTGTCCTGCTGCTTATATCGATCCATCGTGAACCTTTTCTTGTCTTTGGAATGTGAGATCTGTTCACTTCTTTTACTCCAGCAGATTTATCTTTGCGAAACATGTCAAAAAGCCAGAAACCGACTGCAATTTGTAAACAGCGCTGCTTCTGAAACTCGTTGCAGATATAAGCCTACCACAAGATAAACCTTTTTGAGTTTGGGTACTCATGATTAGTTGTGAGCGGTATTATTGCACGCTATAAACAGTGCTATGAGCAAAGAACTTTTTGGCGAGGAAAACATATATTTTTTGATAAGCCTTTCTCTCTGCCTCTCCCGTATTCGATAACATCAACGTATTCACTAATGTTTTCCTAGGTGTAAAACAGCGGTCTAATTTTTCACCTTATTCGCAAGTGCAAAGTTGCTTTTGTTGCCTATATAAATCATTTTAATTTAGTTCAACGTTCAAGTTCCTACTGTGCCTTGGATGGTGAAGCTTCTCATCAAACTGAGACTAGCAAAGAGCAAGTAAATGGTAATTCTTTGTGATTCCGTGCCCTACCTCATCTTGACTTTTTTGCCTTATCTTTTCGGCTTATTTTTGGTTTGATTTCGGGTGGTAATTTTTAGGACTACGAACAAATCGGTTATCCTCCTGTGGATCTGATTCCAATCTTTCCAAGATCGAAGCAGGTATGTCACGCAAATTCTTGTGTATTCAAACTGTTGGCAGCGGATACTTTCAGCTGAGTCAACAGACTGGATGTTTATCAGTGAGGCAGCCAGGTGCGGTGACGTGCTAGGTCTGCTACGGGCTCTTGCAGCAGGCGCTGACATTAATGGTTCCCGCAATGGCACCACTGCATTGCATGTTGCTACCAGAAATGTAAGGATTTCTTCATGGTGGTTGCATACGTTTCCTTGATTCATAATGTAAGTAGCTGGTAGTTATTTTTTTTCAATCACTTGTCAGTTCCATTTTAATTATATATCTCACTCTTCCTATTTCTTTTGTTGTCTTACAGTTATAGTTTGTTGAGATAGCGACTGAAAGGCTTTTATTCGGTGCTAAATGCAGAGATCTTTTCTTCAAACGGATTTTGAATGAACCATTTTGCAGGGCCAAACTGCCGCCGTCGAATTTCTTTTGCTGAATGGTGCGAAAATCAATGTACTCGATGACAAACTAAACACTCCTCTTCATCTTGCTGCTGCGGAGGGAAACACATTGTAAGTTTGATCGTTGCGTAATGGCCTTGTTCAGTGTTTAATGTGTAATGAGTGTGTTACGCAAGTTTCCAGGGAACAATTGACTAAATGCCCCGGGGCATGCGGAGGGCTTATACTTGCAAAATCGGTACTTTTCCGTTATCCGAACCCATTTTCAAAGAAAGATATTGCTTCTATCCTTGTGCCATATTTTGTCCCAGCTTCGCAGGAAGGAGTGTCCTTCTGCCACGTGTCAAGAAAATTTACATGTCATGTACATGTTGAACAGGTTTTACCAAGAGTTTGTATTAGCTTACCTTGCGATGTAAATTCAATCTGTTTTCTAAATAATTTGAACTCATTTCGTTTAAACAGTTTCAAAGTGAACATTGTCATGATAATAACGACATACTATCATTGATGAACAGATCAGACTTGCTTAGGATAGAGAAGTGCGCTAGGCCGTTATTTAAATGACGAAATGAGCAGCAGCAAGGAACTGCAAGCTATCATTTACAGTCTTTTCGGCTAAATTCGCATAGCGAAAAGGGTTTTAAGAGAAATAAGTTTTGAATCACTGCTAAAAGCAAGAAGATTTTCTAGAATAGGTTTGTGATTGTTTTGTGCTTATGTAAAACACTTAAACAGCTTTAAAATGACCACAAGTTCTCTTTTTTCTCACTGGAAATGATTTCGAAAAAACATGTAAAAATGGATCAAAACGTGTCAATTTTTTCGTGACACGTGGCAAGGAAGCAGTCCTCGTGGAATCTATGAATAATAATTCTTGGACTAAATAACGTATAATATATAAGCCTTTGAAAAAATGGGTCCGGATAACGGAAAAGTACCGCAAAATCTAAGCAAAGTGAAGCGTTGTTCACTCCTGGATGACTTGCGGCACCATGTTAGGACGGTTTGGCAGGCCAACCTTTGCTACTCCCCCTCGCCTTTCCCGAAAGCTTGACGCGGAGTTTTTGTTTGAACGCAGACATCGTGATTGTGACCTTCCACCCTTCCTTGCCCTTCCTTGTACAGTCTGCCCCAATCGGGATCAGGCCGAACCGTCGGCTGAATTTGCGCGCTCGCAGCGCTAGTGGTTTGCGCTGCATACGCGCGCTGTCGCAGAGAGCGAAGAGGTTGAGGAGAGAGCAGACTAGCTAGATGCAGAAGTGGCGCGAAACCCTCGCGACGCTCACTCGCGCCAAGCCAATTTTGGCCTGGTTAGGATTGGGGCAGACTGTAAGGCGAGCTCCGCAGTTGTTCACAAAAATGGCTCCACGTCAGGAGTCACGCCGCGCGCCGCGCCGCTTCGCCGCGAACGTCGCGTCTAAATTTTGTACCCCACAGAACTGCCCAGTGCTAAAATGGCACGGCGCCAGTCTAGGGGGGTGGGGGGTGGGGGCAGATACATGGCTCGTGTCATAAGTAAGACTGCGCCAGGAGTGCTAGCTTCTGTTTTGCTGACATCGCTCGCGGCATCGCTTCGCGAAAAATTCGCGCCAACCGTGACTCCTGACCGTTCCCCACAAAAATCCACAAAATCGTTGATTATAATCAGGAATTTTGATGTTGAATATATTAGGTTGTCCCGAAAGTTTCCCCCTTTAATAAGAATCAAGTTTTAGTTCGCAGAAATTTCAAAAGCTTTCATGTATTTGCTGCAGTTGCGTGTTTCATGACTTTGCCAAAAATTGAGACCTTCAAAGAATTAATTTTTTGAAGCTAAAAACAGCAGATTAGGAAAACCCAAAAATATTGCGTTGTGGTACGAGAATTGCTCTATTTGATCCATACTTAATCCTTTCCGAAACTCTGAAATGAAATTTACAAAAATTAGCTAAACTTTGAGCACATGAAATTGATGACGAGTGGAGAATTTTGGCAGTTATCAAAAAAAGCATAAAAGATTCTGGTTCGAAAATGTGTACATAAGAAAGAGAAGGAAAAGCGCATCGAATGCTTGCTGGAACTTATTCAGGTTTTTATTGTGCGTCGTTTTATGATGATTTGAAAAAAAGGACAAAACTTTCGGGCATAATATGATAGTGTAAATCAAAAATTGCCAGTCTTGTGATAGTCACTGGAATTCTTCATCAATGTATCTGTAGTGAGTTTGCAATTAGATTGATTCACCTATCATTGCCGGTGATTACTGATTCGGACATGAGAAGCTAGGTTGCGCAGAAGGTTGTCAGAGGCTTTACATATTGAGTGTCCCAAAAAATGTGCCTACTGTTTGGTTGCTAATAATTCCTTTTCATAAATCTTTCGAGAAGCTTCAATACCACTTCGTAGAGCGAATAACCTTTGTTCCCCATTACTATGAGGTTACGATAGGGAACTTTAGGCATATGACGTCTTTGTAAAATAGCTATCAATTCGAGCAATTTCAAAAAAAAAAAAATTCGGAAAACTAGTGCAATATGTTTTTTATGTAAGCCGAGTTTGATACCTTTTTTACAAGATTGTGACAGTTTCTAGACTGTGTAACCACATTTTTTTTAGCAATATCGAAAAGAAAGGCTGCTACTGCTTACCTGGCATAACTTTTCAAGGAGGCCTTGTAATAAGATACAAATTCATATTTGGAATTCATATATTAGATTCAGCATCTGATTAGCCTAGTGTGAAAGTTTTTGGATTGTTACGTTTTTTCTGAGCCAAAATGACTACTCAAAACCCTCTCCAAAGTTCCTACCGTAATCCTACAGTAACGAAGAGAGATCACTGATTCGCTCTCCAATGTGTACTAAGTTGAAACAAGCTCTACAAAATGGTACCTAAAGCTTAAAAGACTTCATGGCAGGAGAGTTATTAATAAAACAGTATGTACATTTTTTGGAACACCTTGTATAGGAGTTTTGGCTCACAAAGCCAAGAAGCCTGTCATTACGGTGATTCTCATCGAAAACGTTCCAGGCAAGTGTGTCAATTGTTAAAACGAGGTGCTGATAAGTCGCTGAAGAACGCTGATGGTGTGACTCCTTTGGAAATTGCAGTTGAGGGCAAACATGCAGATATCGTCACATTGTAAGTTTGCTTATATCAGTGGACAGATTTTTCTGCACTATTTCTACTCTTCTTATTTCTTGTAAGTGCAGTTTGCCTCTGATTTTTACCATCTCGTTGGCATGAGGAGGACAGTGCTTTTTTTACAATCGCAGATTTCCACAAACACCCTTCCCTTCCTCTCCTTTCGATTAGCTTCAACACATGTTTTGAATGCAAAATGCAATGCAATTCAATAACGCATTCCTAGCCCACGGATCTACATACTTCAAGGGTTGTGCGCTTAGTTTTGATTATGGGGAAAACAATAGAACTTCAACAACTTTCTGAAAGCTGTTGAAGTTTATGCGAGGTGGCTTTTTGATTTATCTCTGTATACAGGGATGGAAGATGGCGCTTATGCAAGAGGGTTCATTAGCACAACACTCCGCTTTTGATTAGACGTTCTAGTCAGCTATTTTGGGTTTCCATGTTTTTTATTCATCGTTCTTTATGCAGAAGTTTAACTCTTAATTTATGTCGCCTTTTTTGCAGTATCAAAATCGAAAACGGTATTATGTACTCTGAGTTTTCATATCTACTCGATACTGTTCGTTTTCGTCTTTTTTATTGTTCTTCTCTCGTGGGAAAGAGGCAGTGAAAGCTAAAGGAATGCCAGCATCTCACAATGTCAAAGATGGCGACGTGCGAATCCTTAGGCAAGATTCAATGAAGAACTGGATTTTCAATGGCCGGAAAAAATAAAACGTTTTTATTTGGACAGAAGCAGGGCAGGCAGTGTCCAATACTCTCGGCTTCAAGTTTTTCCACCATGTTGATTCCCCTGGCGCTGACAATTGTTTGCTTGAGAGCTTACAAGTTGCAAAAAAGGCACATTTTTTGTAAGGGAATGATGGATTGTGTTCCACGGAATTAGGCAGCATCAAAGCGACGGCTGATGCGCACAGAAGGGTATCTCGCAAGTGTTTACACCCACCTAGGTGGCGTCTGTCTAATTATATCCTACAGTTACCCTCGTTTTAAATGGGCTGGCAAAGAGAAGCCCATTATTTTCTAAAAAATGCGACTTCTCACACTTCTAAGATTCTAAGGCGCGCATCCGGATCCGCATAGTGAGACAAGAGTGATTAAAAATATGTTTTCGTCTGTGATCTCTTCATTTGTCTGATGCCAACTCCAGAGATGGCTGTTGGCAGATTCTTAATAGGGCCCATAGATATATCATAATATTTATGAGCCATAAGTTGGAAAATATGCATTAACTGCGTTCATTGCCCACTGTAAGTTTAGAATTTTTTTTACATAAATTGCATCAACTGTCGATTGGCAAGGTTCTTGAGAACTGGAAAGGGAAGGAAAAAATTTGGGCAAAAAACTCTCTCGATTTTGGTCAGGAAATCATTGTAAGAGATGTAAAAAGATTTTGAGATCCATTTCGGGGCACAATTCGGTAGGCAGCTAATTTGCTATGTCGAGAAAACATAATATTTATGCAGCAATGGCGTACCGAGGGGGGGGGGAAAGGAAGTTTCTGAAAGTTACGTACATGAGTTACAACAAGTGACTTGTTTATACTTGCCAATGATTATCATCTTCAAAAATCCATATTAGGCTTGAAAAAGATTTCCGGGGCAGCATGGTTATGACCCTCAAAGTTTTGAGTAGCAACCCAAGGATATTTTTGGAGTGCGCTAATGCCGCGCACCTATACTGACAAATTTTTCTGTACCCCTCCCCCCCCCCCCTCGAAGGAAATCCTGGGAAGGCCAATGCTGTGAATTGCTTGATACTGATGGACGCATTGAAAAATTCCTGTTTTCCCGGATTCTCCAATCTGTCGAATTCTCCTAAAGCCAGTTGTTTCCATAGTTAAGATTGTATGGGTTCTTTGGCGAATTTCTCAAATATTTGAGTCAGTTTTTTGTATTAATCATTTATGTAAAAAAATGAAGTCGTTGTTGCGATTTTTAGAATCATCATATGATTTCCAGATTTCGTGTACACACAATGCGAGACGAGTTCAATGAAGAATTTAACAATCCCATGGATGACACCGTCGATAGCGTAATTTCTGACATTACTCGAAAAGCTGCCGTAAGTAGTAAAAGCTCATCTGGTTAAGCAACTAGTACTATTTGAAATATCGCGGGGCGAAATCCTATATCATCAGAGCTTTTTCTAACCATTAATCTATTCTAGAACGTTTTATGTGCGGTTTGAAACCCATAGTTGGCCAAATATTGCATTTTCTCGCAATGCTTTTCTCGCTCATTTCCCCTAATTGTAACTAATTATGGCTGATTGCTATGTCATGAAGAATGACAATAGGTTTTGGATCATTGCTGCTTCCAAATCTTTTTTCTCTGATGAGATTATTGTATGCCTCTGTATCCGCTTGAATTTTTTCTGAATGTTGCAGCGTTGGTCCTTTATCGTCCAGAATTTTCCATGAGTTCTGGTGTTAGGGCAGTGATTTTCTTTTTTCTTTTTGCAAACCGGAGAGCATGTCTAGTTTTTCCCTCTAGTTTTTGAGCGAAAACGACGCTAGCGATGGATGAAGGACTTTTCGATTGATTCCGCTCTGCGCTGCCCGTTAACTGGGACTTGCACCATTGCATTCGAATGTCACATTACAATCTTTCCGATTTCATCGCATAGATGCAAGTTCGCTATTTTTAGCGCAAGAATTGTTTTTGAGACTTGTTTTTTTTCTAATCGATTCCATAATTCGATAGCATTCTTTTTTTCTTTGCGGGCTATTTGTATTTTTACTAAACAATTTGCTTGCCTTTTATCAGAGATGTGGTGCCTGTGATATAATGTGTGTCGATATCCCTGTCATATTGCTATCTCCTCAACACCCACAAAGCATAATTGTTATTCATAAAGCATAAGTTGTCATTCATTAATGTTATGTACATATCGTCAACAAAGAGTATAAGATCCTTGTTATTATTTACACATGAGGGGTAGCTTTCTCTCATCGAATGGTTTGTCCCTATGAGTCATGCAACGATTCGTCATCGGTTTGATGTTTGAGAGGCAGTAGTGATCGCGTGATTGACGCCGCGGCAACATTGTCGTCATCGTAAGGATCCTCGAACATCGTCGAAGTTTATTTGCTTTGGTTTATTATGACTAATTTGGTCTGCTCTTGTAATGAGCTGGCGGCGAGCTGCCTGTCATCATATTCCATTCGTTATAAATCCTCGCTGGTCCTATCTAGTGTTCATACTGTCTTTCTTCGCTTACACTATCGAAAATGGTCATTCTTTGGAGTATCCACACATCTAGTATGCCATCATTTTTTGAAAAATTGACACTTTTTGGACTCCTTCTGATATGCAAATTTTTGCTGATATTCTAATGTTTTCGCCAGCTTAGCCTTCGCTGCTAGGCATTGGACGTGGCGTTGTATAGAACACTAACTGATTTATTGCTCAAATTAATTCATCCATTTCCGTAGCACACTCATCTTCTTCTAGTTTCCCCATACAAAAGGTTAGCCATAGGAAAACAGTTATTTTTCTTCCTCAGATAGAAGCTGTTGCGCATGGGTCTATCCACACATTTTACCTGAACCTTTCTTCAGAATATTTTGATAGTCACAGCAGCAAAAGGATTAGCATTGTAATAGTTTCTTCCCGTTTTTTTTGAAATATAAATCTACGAATAGCAGCAGATCTGTACCAGAATTGATTCAGTGGGCAGTAGAACTATGCTTACAAGCAGTCATCATTGGACCAAATATTAGGTTGTCCGAAAGTTCTATCATTTTATTTTTGAAAATTTGTTACTTATCGCTTTTCAGATTTGCATAGTTTTGATTTTGGTAAGAAGAAGTCTTTCTTGAATATATCTTGGTGAGCTCTATTATACATTTATTGCAGAGATAAAAATAAAAAAAGACCATTTAGGTTTTGACCATTCTAATTAGGGTCAACAGAAGTTTGGAACGTTGCATAAAAATCCGAAATCGTCGGTGTACAGGTGTTATGACCCCTTTGCATTCGAAGTTTGCGCTATTTTGACGTTTCTGCGAAAAGATATGAATTTCGTGTTCAAAATCGAAAATTCTAGGTTTGATGGATTTGTCACTTTTCTCAAGAGTCGTAAGCTATCTACTGAGAGTTTCGAATTTACCGTGTTCCAGATTTTTGGTGACCTAACATAAAATGATCAAAGCCTGAATGGTCTTCTTTCTCCATGTTTATCTTTGCAACGACTGTATAGTAGAAGCTCATCAAGTTAGACTCACAGTGGAAGACTTCTTCCAACGAAATTCCAAAAAAGCAAATCCGTCGAGTGCCAGAAGTTGCGAAATTTCAGAAACAAACTGACAGAATTTTTGAACGACCTAATATAATTCTTAAGCTGTATTTCTAACAAAGTGCTTCCCCACATTTCGTGTGGCGTTATTTTGAATTCGGTGAAAATCTATCAGGAATGACGTGATTCACGCAGACAAAATTAGTAGAATTGACAAGGCAGTTTTTCATTAGAGAACATCACGTGTGTCAAGTCCAAGAGGTGCACTCTCTTGACTTGAATCCTTCACCCTGATTGTCTTACTTCATATGAACATAACATTTATGACTAGAATCTTTATTATATATTTGCATGTCTAAGAGAAGGGGAAGGGTAACCGCCGGTCACCCGGTTAGGTACAGCTCATCTGGAGTTGCTGGGCACCGCCCAGTTGGCGTGGAGACTGTCGGACCATCCAATTAGTCTGCGTCTCGACATGTCCATTCCACAGTAAAGCTCGTCCCGAGCTTTCATCTTGACCATGGCTTGAGGTTAAGAACTCGTTATCGTCATCAACCTGCCCATTCGCTTTGTCATTTGCCCATTTGTACCATTTGCTTCCTCGTAGAGGCCAGGAGAGTATGTGTGGCTTGCCATCATCGTCTTCAATACTGCCCATATACCATTTGTCTCGTGGCTGCTGCGATTGAGTGCGAAAAGGTGCGTTGATACCATTATCGTCACCAAGGTTGCCCATTTGCCATCTGTTGCTGCTGCGTTGCTTGAGGGCAGGGTTGGGTTGCTGATCGCTTCGTGGTTAGTTGCTGGATTGCTCTTCATAAGTGGACAAGGGGAAAAGGCTCATAGGAAGAAGCGGCTTTCCCACGCCCTGTCAAAAGAAAGAGCTCGTCTCGAGCTGAGAAAGCGCAGCAAAATGAGCTTGGAAATGTGATGGTTATCAAGCTGGTGTGCGGGTAAGGCTTCCGCGATTAGGGACGGAAGAATGCGGTAATGATGATACCAGTACGTCGTGGATGGGTGAGCTCTGTCCGAGCGGAGGGAACGAGTATTGTAATGCTTGGAATGAGGATAAACAACATGGTAGAAGCGGCGTAGTTTGAAAGTTGAATTGGGATTGTTCAAAATTTTGATATGTGGTGATGGGGTTGTCGTGAATATTGAAGAAATAATATACATGAAAAATGCAGACAACAATAATGCAAATCAAAGTCGCTACTGCGATGGAACGTTCAAAATTTTGACGTTTTGAAGATTCGTCGTTACAACATTCAAAAAAATCAAGGGCAACAAAAACATGAAATTTCCGGAATCTATCATGTGAGCAACTCATGAGGAAACACTTTCCTAACGCTGCCCACAAGGGCGTGGGGTAAAATTTTGAATGGCTGAAAGGCTTCTCCGAGTCGCCTATCAGAGAAGTCTTTCTTGTTATAGTGCAGACGCTTGCGGCAAACTTACTCTGCCAGTAGCCGCTGCGTATGTGGAATTAATGTGAGTTTGCTACTGGCACTCAAAATATCCAGTCTTTTCAGACGCTCTGAACATCTGATAGCAAAAACAATCAATACAAAGGTAACACAGTTGTAATTGGGCATATGCATAGCTTCTGTCCTCCTCATATGCTCTGAACAAGTGAGTGTAGACTAAAACTCGAATAGAAAATCGCTTATAATACAATGGTGAACACTTGGCTGGGAACAATGTTGACATGAAGAAGAAACAAGATTTTCATGGAGCGGTTATTCGAGGATATCAATAGGAACAAAATAATTCTAATTCCACTGTACTATTTGTCCTTCAGTTACTCGGATTTTGTTTCTCAGCCTCGTTTTCGCATATCTGAAACTGTCGCGAGCGTATTAGTCGCGCGAGGTGAGATTCATACAGGCCTTTGTATCGCACGGTCGTTTTGCAGTTAGGAAAGTGCCGGAGTTGACTCAAAGGTAACTAGTCATCATTGTGAGAAGCTGATCAGCGGAAAAGTGTAAGTGACGCTTATGCTGTCATTTTTTCTAAAATAGACAGTTAAGGAATTTTTTTTCTAAACTACGGCTGAATTCAGTTGAATCCAAATAATTCTCTGATGTTATGCTAGAATTTCATGTATGGTAGATAATTAGCGATGGTTGAGATCCACCTGTGCTAAATGCTGACGAAATTGCAAAGTGAATGAGTATGTAATCATTCCGCTGCTCTTTATTTCTCTGAAAAGCGAAAAATAGTATAGGTGGCCGAATGTACGAAGAGTAGTCGTTTTCAATCAGAATAAGCCTATGCAAACTGAATCGATTTTTTCTAAGGTGAATATCACCAGGCTTTTTTTTCACTAATTTCTTTTGCGAGTCTAAGATTGTAGATTGCCGTGCTTTTACTTTTATCAAGTGATTACTTCTTTTCTTTTGATTTTGGGATGTAGAACCTACCTAAAATGATGTTAAGAGCTCATTTTTTTCTAAATGTTAACGTTACACTATTGTTTTGTCTATGACGTACTTATTTGAACTGTTGAACCAAAAATTCCAAAAAAATTGATTGTGCTGTAATCAAGAGATGCAACGTTGAAATTCACAGTTTATTCCAATCCATCATTAGAATTGCCGAGCTCCATCTAAAATCGTGCTGAGATGACTAAATTGTGGGAAATCAGAATTTATTTCATCAGCTTTCAGCTTCCACTTTTACGTTGGTAGGAGTGGGGTTCTTTTACAACATGAATCTAGGAACATTAAAGCGTTGAACCTGTATTTCAAGAAATGGAGCGTTAGAGACATTTTGATGATTGATCTGTTCCGTTGGATTCTACAAAACTCAGGCAAACTGAGAAT